GAGTTCATATTATTCTGTTTTTTGTTACACACACACACACACACACACACACACACACACACACACACACACACACACACACACACAGAGCATTCATATTACTTATTAAATATGTGTTTCAATTTGGTTTTATTTGCTTTAACCATTAATACTACACACACACACACACACACCATTCATATTACTCATTAAATATGTGTTTCAGTTTGGTTTTTTTTACTTTAACCATTAATACCGCAGTAACCAAAAAGGTTCAGAAAACAACCAGTGACTTTTGACATTTTGCATGTGTTTTGATTGCCCTTTATGACTTATTATTTATTAATATAAATGATACTTAATTAAATAATGATTACATTTTATAAAATAGCTAAATTAATATCTAATCCAAATGATCATGGAAGAGAAGCATAAAGAGCATTTTTTTTATAAATTGTCCAGAATTATTGACGTTGTGCAAAGAATTTTAGGCAAACAAAAACCTGGACACAGAGGTGTAAGCTAAAAATGAAATTCCATACAGTGCACTTTGGGGTTGGGGGGGGAGAACACCAGCCCTTTGGTGATAATTTGTACTTTCAATGCATTTTCTTTTTAATTTCAGATACATATTTTGGACAGACTGGTTCCGCCCTGCTAAAATCATGAGAGCTTGGTGTGATGGATCCCATGCTGTATCAATTGTGAATACTACACTTGGCTGGCCTAATGGCCTAGCTATTGATTGGAGGTTAGAAAGAAAATCAAAACGATCAATTTTTCAGCAGATATTGTACAATGACCAGAAGCCAAAGAAATATCTTTCATGCTAGGCAAATGTCCCAAATCGATCGATCGTTCCTTCTGGAATGCTGATAGAATTCTTTTCTTGTAAAGTTTATTATCTTTCGTCTTTGTGCTGAAAGTTCAGTCTCCTCAAAACAACTCCTTTTGTGTTCATAAAGATATTTTGAGTAGTTCATTTGGAAATCTGTGACATGAATAGTGGTAGTTGTTTTTGAGCGCATTCTCTCCTAGATTGATTGTTCAGAGATATAAAGGTTTAAATTAACCTGTTGATTTCTTCCCTAGTTCCCTCAGGCTTTATTGGGTGGATGCCTTTTTTGATAAAATTGAACACAGCACTTTTGATGGATTGGATAGGAAGTCACTGGACCGCATTAGTCAGATGACACATCCATTTGGCCTGACTATCTTTGGAGGTAAGTCTTGTATGAACATATAGTTTTATATATGATTGGAACCTTCAGGTTCTCACAGTCTGAAACTTATGGGACAGTTGGTAAAATATTGATTGTGACACTTGAAATGCAGGCACTCTATTTCTCAACTATCTTTTTGGAGACAGGGTTGGATCCGGAGTGCTCTGCATCCACAGAAGGTCTCCTATCCAGCAGATATTTTTGCTGGAGAAAGAGAGCTGCAAAGTGCTTTTCCTTCCCTTTTTATTCCTGTGCATCATCACCACTACCACCTTGTGGTTAGGATGTACTCCATGGAGATTTTTTAAGAGTGTAAAGGGTTGCGAGGGAGAGGGGGAATTGGTGAAATTTGTTTTGCCATCCTTTATTTAAATTTTTTTGGTCAGGATTCAGAGAGATCTCATGAGCACAACTCAGTTGTGGAAACACTCCCACCAAAGTTTGTGAAGGGTTTTGTTGTACTAAAACAACAAAACTGGAAACTTCTCCAGCTATTTCAGAGGCATCCCAAATACAAGGACCTGCTAGTCATTTATTGTTGTCACTCCTGTTTTGGAGCAAGTCCTTACAGCTCATTGCACATTCATTTTCTGAACCATATTTGTCTCTCTGATACACTACATCACCAAATTGTGTCAGTCTAGACTGGGATCACTGGCGTTTTAGAAGACTGTAGCGGAATTAGACACAGGGCACTTGGGAATCCAATCATTTACACTGGGTTAATTCAGTTTAAGGAGATGGGTGCATCTCTCATTCATATAAAATAATAATGTCTGTGTAATTTTACTTTGTGGGGCTTTGCAGGTTATGCATATTTTACTGATTGGAGGCTTGGCGGAATAGTTCGAGTGAGGAAGTCTGATGGAGGAGAAATGACTGTTATCAGGAGGGGAATCAGCAATATCATGCACGTGAAAGCATATAATGCTCATTTTCAAACAGGTAAGCTAACCTACTGTCTTTGCACAGATTTGTATACTAAAGCATCCTGTCTGGTATCAACTTTAATATTTAGCCAATCTAATAAGGTAAATCTTATTGATAAGGTGACTCAGGAATTGGAAGATGCTGTTTCTTACATCACACATACTGTGTATGGATATAAGTGCTTATAGAGGCATGTTTGTGATATTGTTAATGTTAGTTAACACATTATAGTAAGCATATGAGTCTAGTAAGCATATCTAGTGCAACATTTAACAGTACGGGTAATATCCAGTTGAGGTCTCCTGTGAACAATTTCTTCCATCAGAAGAAAATGTATGACTCTTCATTTCCTTTGCATCTCCTGAGAATCTTGGCAGGACGGGATGATGCTCCAGAGCAGAGATGAGGCAAAAGAAAACACATGGGGCAGAATCCTGTTGTTTAGCACAATCAGTTACATTAGAGTAGGCTCACTTAGTTCATTGGGATTTAGAGAGTCGACTCCTTTGTAAGTACCATTGGTTCAAACGGGCCTACTGTAACTGCAGTTTACTTTAGCGTAGCAAATTGCAAATAGAGCATGCTTGTTTGAATCAGTGGAACATATGGAGTTTCACTCACCAAATCCACATTGATTCAATGGGCCTACTCTAGTGTAATTTATTATGTGAAGCAACAGAATTTTGGCCATGAATTGTAAGATATAAGGGTGGAAGAGCAAAGAATTCAGTTGGATGAGAGAGTATCTGGTCATGAACAGTAGATTTCACCTAACACATCTGTTTGTTTTTGCTCTTGCTCTTCTGTAGACAGGATACGAGTTTGATAGAAAATGACAGAAATCTAAAATAAAAACCAAGGAGCAATATTTATTCTGTGGAGAATTTGGTCATTGCCTCCTCTCTGCTTGTAGTACACCATTATGTTTGTGATGACAGATTTTGAGATTCCATATGTGAGGTGATTATGAGAGAAAACTCTGCCATGGGATGGGGCTAGATAATTTGGGGCTTCATTATAATGTTTAAATCCTAATTCTTCAGCTTAACTAATTATATTTTTAAAGAGTGGTGATGATTTGGCAGTTTATGGTCCGAGTAGAAGGGATACCTCATTATGCAATGGTGAGATTGTAAGGAAATTCCGTTTTGTTACAAGGCAGGTCTTTGCCAGGCTTTTAGGAAATGATCCAACAAAATTTTACTGCTTCAATCTCACTGATTTCAGCGAGGGGAATATTGACAGTATAGTCGTGTGTATGTTTGCTCACCAAAAGATCCTGTTGGATTTAGTGATACATACTCCAGGGAAGCCTGAACAGTATTGCCATCTTTTAACGTGTATACTTTGTTCTGCTATTGACACCACAAAACGTTAACGTATTTAACTTCGACTGGATCAGATCCTTAATAGTTGTCTTGTATCCGTTACTTTCCTTCCTTTTCAGCAAGAAGTTTAAATTTGAATTATTTCTGTTTTCTTATAAATCTAAAAATATATTGATTTTTCATGATTTCTTGAAGGCACTAATTACTGTAACAGAGCAACAAATCCCAATGGAGACTGTAGCCACTTCTGCTTCCCCGTCCCGAATTTTCAGAGGGTTTGTGGCTGCCCCTATGGAATGAAGCTGAGTTCTAACCAGTTGACCTGTGTTGAAGATCCATCCAACGAGCCCCCCACTTTACAGTGTGGTTCCTATTCCTTCTCCTGTGGCAATGGAAGGTGTGTACCCAGGTTCTATCGATGTGATGGTGTGGATGATTGCCATGATAACAGTGATGAGGAACACTGTGGATCCCCAAGTAAGTATTCTTTGAATCCAAGAAAAAAAAGAGGCATTTTGTTTCTAAAAAAACAAATACTTACTTGCAGTGTAGATTTCTGTTTAGACTGAGCCTAGAAGTGCTCCAGAGTTAGAGCTTATTAAAAAAAAAAAGTAATGTGTTGTGTCAACATGAAATAGGACTTTGTAGGCCTAGTTCATATATAAACTTTGACATCTATTGGGTGGCTTCTGGGATGACTGTACTCCATGTAATTGTTGTAATCTGTGTATAAAGCTAAGGTGAACCAGAGAGTAGTAGAGTGTCATCCTCCACCCATTCCTGGTTTTGTTATTCGCCTGCACGTGGAACATGAGGCATCTGAAGCCGTGATCCTATACTATCCATGAACAATCTCCATGAGACTTTGGATGTTGAGTTGGGCCCTGCACTGATAGCAAAGTTCTTCTTCAGTTTTCTTCCCCTCCACATGTCGTAGGAGGGTGATGAAAATGATGACAGGGAACAGGAGGGAGAATATATCAAGTGACCTGTATACCTGGAAACAAAAAACTGAATAGGATTTGTGAAAAGTGCACCAATATGAAAACTTGTGACAGATCCATCTCCTAGGACTAGATCTAATTAATTTTTGTTGGTGGTGTATGTCAATGGGAGCCTTTGATGCATGCTTGTTTGTAAGAATCTTTTGATATCTGTCCCTAGAATGCAAAATTTTGTCTCAGAACTGCTCTTCTAGTTTCATTACTGTTCAGAATTATTCGTGTTTAAAAAAATTTCTGCTCCGTGTCATCTATAATAGTGTACTAAGAATAGGAGTGGGGACTTGGGAGCCATGTTTTTGCCCTCTGCTGCTTCTGAAGGCTGCCCAGAAATGACTGTTTTCAACCATTTTTATGGGGCAGAGAGGAATTGAACAGTTCAGATAACTTCCAGTTTGATATTTTTAAAAATTCTGCAGGGAGAGGGCCTTAAGGAGTTTTTAAAGGTTTTTGATGCAATAATTATTGCTCTTGTCTTCTAGAGGCCTCCAGGGACAGAAATTAGCCTCTGTTTTTTTTTGTAATTTTAAGCAAATACAACATTTTCCTAGGGCCTACAAAAACTCCCCTGGGAGAGCTACATGTGGCCTGGAGGCCCTATGTTTCCCAGCCTGATGTAGAACATCTATGATAATCTGTAAACAGCTTTTAGCATTAGTCTGTTTTAAGATATAACTAAAGGATGAATAGGTTTTTGTAGTATTTTACATCACTTATTTGCTTGTAAATTATATGTGAAAGAAAAAGAGCAAAGTTTTCAGGAAGTTTATAAGAAGAAATGATGAGTGAGAAGAATGGGTGATAGGGACCCAACATTAGTGTGCTTTCTGCCTTGCCTTTATTTTCATAATTTACTGCTGTAACTTTCCTAGTAGAAACTTCTCCTACACATTATGTATCAGACCAGTTTTGAACAAATTCCATTTCCTATTTTGTCCCCCTACCCCATTATTTACTCATTTAAAACATTTGAAAATATTTAAACTATAGATTTTATATATTAAACAGTTATTTTAAAGGGCACACATGTTGGAATTACTTCAGAAATTCTATGTTCTGTTTTAACCAAATATACCTCTTGGTGTTCACCTCTTCATTTAAGAAAAAACTTTGTGAGACTGAGCATCGCCTTTACCCACCATTGTTTACATCTCGGTGGGTTATCCAATAAAATGCTGCTATTGAGCGTGTCTTTGCAGTGCAAGTCAATCTGAAGTAAGATTTTGGCTTTTTCCCCCTGCAATGATACGGTTACAACAATGAGACTATAATTCTGCACTCACTTACTTGAAGGTCACGGCTATGAAGCTCAGTTGGCCTTATTTCTGGGTATACACGTGACTGATGGCGTTGTTGGTATATTTGTAAGCAAGACTGTTTTTGTGGGAACTTCACAGCTTTTCATTTCTTGTTCAGACAATACCTGTGCCACGTCGGCCTTTACCTGTAGAAATGGGCAATGTATCCCCAGACGGTGGCGATGTGATAAGCATAACGACTGCCTGGACAATAGTGATGAACTTCACTGCCCCACACAGGGCCCTGCCTCATGCCCTACAGCCTTATTCACCTGTGATAACAATAAGTGCATTCCCAGAATCTGGCTCTGTGATACGGACAACGACTGCGGTGATGGCTCAGATGAAAAGAACTGCAGTAAGTATTGGGATAGGGCATAAGATTGCGTGATGCCTTCATCAGAAACGGGTTTTATAGAAGTTATTTCTGTCAACTACAGCTTGCAGAATCCCGCAGCCAGCATTTAGCCCCTTGTCCAATCTGGTTGGAAGGGGAGAGGTCTAGGGGTGCTCGTTAAAAAGTAATTTTTTTTTCAAGCTCAATTCTGGTTCACTGTAACCTGCATTTTTATACCTAAATATTTGTCCTAGTAATGGCAAACAAGTCCCTTTTGTTCCACAAGTCCCATACTATTACTGCTTAGTCAAAAATACACTTCACCTTGAACGATAACTCTTACAAATATATATATGGAGGACTAAATCTGATTGTTCATTTCATCTAGACCAGTGAGGGCGAACCTTTTTGAGCCCGAGTGCCCAAACGGCAACACAAAACGAAATTATTTCTTTCGAAGTGTCAACACTGCAATTAAACCTGGATACTGAGGTTTTAGTTTAGAAAAAACAACTCATACAGTTGTCTGAACTAATCAACACCTTTTCTTTTAAAATAAATACAGTGGACCCTTGACTTACAGACGGCTTGACTTACAGACTTTTTGAGTTACAGACTTCTCTGGCCGCAAAATTTAGGTTTGACTTGTAGCCTGAGAATTGACTTACAGACCAGAAAAAAAACAAAATGGAACAAAAACAGCCTGTTACGGGATTAATCGGTTTTCAATGCACTGTAGGTCAATGGAGACTTGACCTACAGACTTTTTGACTTGAGAACCGCCTTCCAATACAGATTAAGTTCTCAAGTCAAGACCCGACTGTACACAATAACAGAGCTTTCAATGGTACAAACACTTTTTATTGAAAAAACCATCAACTCTAGTAAATGGAAAAAAATTAAAGTAATACATTGTACACATGTCCTGAAGCCAGGTAATTTATACAAACTTTTAAAATAATTCTGTGCATGTATTTTTGGATAAGAGATCCTCAACTTGTAGTATGATTATATGCCAGACTGAAATTGTATAGGGCAAGCCTTATTCCAGGTCTTCTCCCTGCTTCTACAGGTGTTGGATTAGTAAAAGTAAAAGTCGACTTGTATTAGTATGAGCAAAATAAACAAGAAAACTAAACTTGCTTAACACACTTTAAACAACTTCTAAACTAGTGTTTTGGATTGCAAACACTGCATTAGGTAAAATTTTGAATTTGGCATGCTTTTCCACAATTAATGTGATTTTTGATGTTGTACGCATGCTGATAACTTGTCAAACCTTGGCTCATATGCTGTTAGTTTGAGAGCAACACATGCAGCACTCATGTCATCTGTCAGTCTGTTTCTGGTATCAGATTTGATATAATCCAAAGCTGAAAACGGCTGCTCAGAAGCATAAAATGACCCAAACAAAGTACGAAGAGCAATCCCAAGTGCTTTCATTGACTTAAAATTATTTGGCAGAGAATTCCACACTTTAAGGATTTCATTTTCAGAACTACCAACTGTGCTGTCCTTTGTCATCCCTTCGCATTCTATCTTCTCCAGCGTTGCACGCAGGTCATATAATTTATTTTCCACATAGAGATTTCTTGAAATACCAATAGCTCCATTTCTAGATTTCCAAAATCTAACCATTGTAAGCAGGAAAGATCAAGTTCTTCAAATTTGGCTTTATCTGGAGAAGTAAGAAAACACAGAGTTGTTTCCATCTTATGAAACTGTACAAATCTGTTCCTAAAATTCTCCTTTGCAGCTGCTACAATGCTAGAAAATTCGTTTGTAGAGTTTTGTAACATCTCTGAGGATATTGTCTAATTTTTTGCTCTTTTCCCTGGCACAAAGAGCTTCTTGATGTATAATACAATGAAACTGAATGACTGGGTGTTTTACTTCTTTAAAAAAGAACTATGAAATCAGATGTAACCCCCACCATGCAAGGTGCCCCATCATTAGTAACTGAAACTACTTTTTCTGCTTTTACGTCTTGTGGCAAAAAAGCCTCCATCACAGCATTGTAGATATCTCTCCCTTGTGTTCTTCTGGCAAAGACAACAGTTTCACCAGCTCTTCTCTCATGATGTTGCCAACAGCATAACGCAAAATTACTGCTGTGTATGTGTAGGCATCCTTCAGAGACTATGGTAACATGCTCTGTACGGAGGACTTGGAACAGTGTCTAGTGTGGCTGAGGAGGCCAATTTGAGAGTGACAATCTCTTCCACACTGAAGACAAATACAATCTGTCCCCTGTCCAGCTCCGTGATCTGGCTGGATTCAGGACTGCCTCTTTGCCTTGGCCTGCTGGACAAGGGTCTTTTCAAAATGGGAGAGGCCATGCTGCACTACCTGCCTCCAGGCTGAACGCTCAGATGTCAGGGTTTCCCATCTGTTGAGGTCCATTCCTAAGGCCTTCAGATCCCGCTTGCAGATGTCCTTGTATTGCAGCTGTGGTCTCCCTCTAGGGTGATTTCCCTGTACTAATTCTCCATACAGGAATCTGACCGTCAGCTATTCTCACGACATACCCGAGCCCCCCCCCACAGACCCTTCCTCCCTCCCTAAATGTTCTGCAATCAGTTGCTTCAGCTCACTATGGCCCCGTTTCCTCTCATTACATTTAAACAAGCTTGATGAATCCACCCGTCCCCCTCTCTCACGCATTAATTGGAGCCTTCCGGCAGAAGTAGCAATTCACAAGCCAGATTATCTGCTGCGGGCTCTTCTAAAGCAGTAGACAATAAAGCAGCTTTCTCTTTGATCTTCAAAATAACTGATTTACAAGTGGCACAACCAAGGAAGGTAGGAGGGAAAGGTGACTTACAGTCCTGGGGTTTAGCTGCGGCATGATGTGATGGGGAGGGGTAGTGATCCAGCAACTTATGACTCGCGTGCCCATGGAGAGGTCTTTGCATGCCAGCTGTGGCATGCGTGCCATAGGTTCGCCATTGCTGATTTGGACCCATTGAATCAGTGTGGTTCATGTAAGTGACTTACCTAATCAGTATTGATGTAGCTAATCCAGTTGTGATTAAAGATTTAGACCAAAGTAAATTATACCTATTTCAGATTGAAATTGGAAGATCTTAAGTCACACGATGCTTGTCCGCTTCTTCCTAGTAGAATTTTGCTTTTAAGTTAATAAATTTAGCATTGTTAGTCAGCATTCCTTGACTTTGTGCCATCCAGATGTTCTGGGCAGCAGCTCGTTTGCTATGGCAAGCATAACTTGCAATCAGAGGTGATTGGAGTTGTATTTCAAAATGACTGGAGAGCACCAGTTTAGGAAAGGCTTTTTATATTGTGCTACATATTGAGTTAGATTTCTTTTAATGTTGTCTTTATAGCTTTCACAGAAACCTGTGAACCTGGTCAGTTTCAGTGTCCGGATCACAGATGCATTGATCCATTTTATGTTTGCGATGGTGACAAAGACTGTGTAGATGGAGCAGATGAACGTGATTGCAGTTAAGTATCTTGATTATTACCATCATGCCTCAAAGAAACCATTTATGTATTGATTTTTCTCAAGTTCTGCTGTCTTAGTACTATAATTCTTAACAGAAATAAAACAATTTTTAAAGACTTACTTGGGACAAGTGGAACATACTCTGTAATGGGTAGTGTTTGAAATACCTCTAGGAGACATGGCTTGCACAGATCAAAGTTCATGCACAGGTTGATTGGATAGCTCTGAGTATTAAAACTGCTTCTTTTTCCCCTTTTGTAAAATAAGAGTGATAGCAGTATAGCTCACAGGTTACACAGAGTAGTGAATGAAGGACGTGATGTTCCATGTGTTGGTTGTATATTTGTTAGGTAGAATTGGTTTTATATTTTATTATTTATTTTAAAAATACAAACTTTATGAGTTACGATGTTTTAGAGGCATTGACTATTCTGGAATTATTCTCAGAATCCCCAAGACTGTGTAGTAGTTGTTATTTAGACTCAGGAAAGAATAGAATATATCTGGACCTCACATGATCTTTTCAGTTTCAGGAAACTCTTTTATTTCATTCATTCATTTGCTTTATATCCAACTTCTTCCTCATGAAAGGAATTCATGGCAGCTTGCAATTAAATAAAAGAAGCAACATTACAACATAAAAAGAATAAAAGCACAACAAAATTAAAACAACTTAAATATGCACAAAAAACCCATAGCGCCCTGCGTTTGTCATGATTGTCTGATATATATTATATACTGTACAGTGATTATAAAGCTGTTCAGAAACATGCCCTCCATATGAGAATTAAGACCATCCTTATTTTTGTATTGTAGTCTACAACTGTAGTGCCACTGAATTTAAATGTGCAAGTGGAGACCAGTGTATCAGCAGTTATTACCAATGTGATGGCGTCTTTGACTGCAATGATCATTCAGATGAGGCCAGATGTCGTAAGTATTCAATACGCTACCTTTTAGTATTAATGAAACCTGCAAACAAGGTTGAAACACACCAGCCACCAAGAAGAAGGCACGAGTTGAGTCTCGTGGCGCAGTGGTTAAACCGCTGTACTGCAGCTAAAACTGTGCTCACGACCTGGGGTTCAATCCCAGGTAGCGGGCCCAAGGTTCACTCAGCCTTCTATCCTTCCGAGGTCCGTAAAATAAGTACCCAGCTCGCTGTGGCGGCAATGTGTAGCCTGCATAATTAACTTGCAAACCACCCAGAGAGTGCTTGAAGCACTATGGGGCGGTATATAAGCAGCACGCTTTGCTTTTTGCTTTACTTTGCCTGCAGTAACTCACCATGAGGCACATAGCAAAACAATTATAAAAAACAAACACATTTATCAAAGCAATTTTCGCATGGCAAACAGAGTGGAGCAGTGCTGGTTGGGGATTTTCGTGTTGTAGATACAGAAAGCAATGTTGTTAACCTCTGGTTGTTATAGGGCACACACCTTTTTTGGGTCCAGGTTCTAGTCAAGATTTTGTCTTGCAGAACTGATTTTATGTGCAACTTTAGAAACCTCAGGTGCAAGTCAAGTAATAGATTCTCCAAGCATTGAATCTGGATTGAGACTCCTGCCACTTCACACCTCATAGGAGGTGTGGGACTATCCATTGGAATCTACATTTTTACTGTTAAGAACTTGTGACAACGGTGCTATTGTCAACTCACTGATCCATCTTTTGTGCTTACCTTGTATATAGCCTGTTGTTTTGCTTCAATTTAATGTGTCTGAAGAAGCAGATATGCTTGTGAAAGCTCCCACTGAAATTTAACAGTTTTAGAAGAGGTAGCTATGTGCGAGCATATCAGGCAAAAATATGATATGAGATATAACAGTCTTCAGGGAGATGCAACATTTTTGTTTTCCAATTTTTTTGTCTTTCCTTTTTATTTTTGTCTGGTTATTCTGTGTGTAGGCATTTTAACGTCTGAAAACTATGTATTAAAGCACTGCAGGAATATTAGGCTGTATTTTTATGTCGATAAAAGAGTGGTTTTCCAGTGTTTTAAAATTTATCTTAATTTCTTTTTAGCAGAAATAACAAAATGCTGCCGCTTTTTTGTCTTGATGTTAACACGATGAGTAATATTTTGGGAGTAGCTACATTTTAAAAATAATAGCTGATTTCTCTTAAATACTGCTAAAGTGGAATTGTCCTTGCTATTGCCCATTATGTGCATTCCTTCTTGCTTGTTTTTGACATGAATGTAGCTCTTACCTTCACACTGTTGCTATAATTGTTCCAGCTACAAGGCCCCCTGGAATGTGCCACCAGAATGAATTCCAGTGTCAGTCAGATGGCAGCTGCCTTCCCGCTAGTTGGGAATGTGACGGACACCCTGATTGTGTGGATGGCTCAGATGAGCATCACAGGTGTCCACCCAGGACCTGCCCTCCTTCTCTTTTCCGCTGTGATAATGGAAACTGCATCTATCGTGCCTGGATCTGCGACGGAGACAACGACTGCAGGGATATGAGTGATGAGAGAGACTGTCCCACCCAGCCTTTCCGGTGCCCAAGCTGGCAGTGGCAATGCCCAGGCCACAGCGTGTGTGTCAACCTGAGCAAAGTATGTGACAATCTTGCAGACTGCCCGAACGGAGCGGATGAATCTCCCCTCTGCAGTAAGTGGCTAGCATTGTTTTTAATATGTGGAGGCCTGCGGAAGGATGTCTGTTGAAGTGGGTTGACTGCTGGGCAGATGAGGGCAATGTTAAGTCTTGCCTATCTCATGAACTAATTGGGAAGACAAAATGTACGTGGAATGCTGTGGCTGCAGTTCTGAATTACTTGGAGGAAAGCTGAGATACTAGTATGAAAAAAAAAAAACGCAAAGCAAGGAAACAAATATTTGCCAGAAATCTGTTGGATTTTGTCATGCATGCAAGAGAAATTGTGGAAACTACTGTTAATTATTGACAATGTGCTGGTTATATGTGGGTCAGGCCACACACTTGTCATGTGCCCGGCACCTTGTCCGTCATGAGCCACGACAGCTTCCACAGTTCTTTCACATGCATAAATGTCGGTGATGATTTTAGCCATTAGTCTGTTACTGCCATGTTATATAGCAGGAATGGGCAGAATCCAATTGTTGGTGTTTTTTTGTGTGTGGGGGTGGGTGGGTTTGTTTCTTTATTAAAGCCAAAAGATGAGCCAACCTGAACCAGGTACTAAAGGCTGATATTTGGAAGTCAAGACTTCTGAGGTTATTGTCCTTCCATACTAAAATCCACTTCTGTTTTTGTTCCCACACCATCAAGCTTCCTTCATCACAACAATATTTTGAGTGGCTGGATGTCATTTTGTTGCTGCTTTATTTTTCTTCAATTTTTAAAAAAATATAGTATAGAAAGTTAAACATGAAATCTCATGACAAATTATAATTCACATAAATGGCCAATATGGACTGTTCATTATTGCTGCTTTTGTTGGTGAACATTTGGGAGTCAAAAACGCAGTACAAACTGCCCAGATATCTCTTGGGAGTAGATCTTAGCCTGTTTTCCTTCCTCCCTGTGAACTGAATTATTTTGAGCTAGTCATTTTATAGGGCCACTGTCAGACTGCAGACCTACTGCGGACGTACAGGACTAGGAACATGCTCTTTATTCAGAGCAGTACTTCCTTTAACAGTTACAGTAATACATTGCCTTTCAAATTTATCTACTAAGAAGTAGTGTTTCTATAAATCTTAAATCTGCCATTTGAGATTGGAACATAATCAGTAGTTGCTTTTAATTTGAAATCAGATTTCATTCATTCTTTAATATTTCCTTTAATATTTCTAACTTTTACTTGTTTTTAATCACAAAACTTGCAGGTGGCCCGAATTTGTATTGATTGTGGTCAGTGTTGATTTACACTTAATCCTAATTTCTCTCTTTCTTTCCTCCCCTTTTCTAATCAATCAATGTGCATTCTCAGATGAGCCTCAACCAGGTATGATCCTAAAGTCTATTAGCTTCATGTGTTGATACCACATTTCAAATCTTATTTGTTAACTGAGGGCTTGTTTACAAAATCTTGGTATTCCTGAGATTATTTCAAGAACGGTTCATTTGGAGTTGCTTTTCTGAACCGCATAAAGTATCCTGGGGATCCAGGGCATTTCAGCCTCATGAACGTGATAGATGGGGCTATTACAAGGAATCCTCCCCTCTCCATGGTCAGCATCCAGACTGGCATGCGTTGTCTTACAAATAAACCCACAGTTTTCATGCTGCCTGTAACTTCTAGTGTTGCATCAAATGGCCCAGTGTTTAGAACAGCAGAGAGTGGGACATACTGTGCAACAGGATACAGCAGGATAAGACCACTGATAAGCCTCAGTACATGCACAGAACACAATACCTGCCCTTTTGTATTTTGTATTTTATCACTTTTGTCATGTATCTCAAGAGGACGCAAAGGAGAGTTTAGAGCAACCATTTTCAACCCTTAAGTATCCAGGAGTTCTTGTTCTTAGTTTATATTCGATTCATCTGCAAATTGATCTTCCCTTCATCTTGTCGGAAACCAAACCAAACCAAACCCTTGCCCCCCCCCCCGAGAAGTAAACCAGTTAAGACCAGTTTTTCTCTTGGCATACCTGATTATGTAAATAAGCCTGAAATTATCCTAACTCCTCTTTCCGTTATTAAACCATTCCATTATAAGTATTAAGGTAGAAGCGGCTGGTAATAAAAGTTTCTTTTCGGCAACTTGTGGCCTGTACTTGAAATCATGAAAAATTCTGTTTTCTGTAGATTTTGTTAAGGAAAAAAATAGAGTGTCTAGACTCACACTTGTTAAAAAATTCACATAAATGGCCAATATGGACTGTTAAAAAAGGTCTGTGGTTGAGAGACGGTTATAAAGTAAAACGAAAATTGCCCTTTCTCATATCATTATAATATTCAGGGTCATTTTCATTCCATTTGGAAATAGGAAAAAAAATCAGGATAGGAGTTACTTTTTTCCTCTATTGATACCTGTTTCCATTAAAAGAAATATGGATCATATGCAGAAGTGGTAGTTCAGGATCACCTGCCTGCACCTCCGAAAGGCTGCATAGCTTGCCGTTTATCCGTTTTCTCCCAGGCCATTTCAGGATCCTAAAACACAGCTGTTATGTTGAGATATATCTTAATTCATTATAAACTTTCAAACTCTTTCCCTTCTTCTACACAATAGTGACAATCCACAGGGAAAGCAAGCTTCCATGCCAGGCAAATATGCTAAACTGGCTCAGAATTTTTTCCAGAGCTCACTACCTATTTAAGTTAAAGAATACATACTTGTCTTTTTCATAAAGCATTTCTCAGGTCGCCTTTAATACTAAGCAGATTATGTTCAAACTGGACTTAGTGCACGTTCATTGAAACAAATGGTACCCAAGTTAATCGTACCTATTTAAAGTAACATTGATTTCCACGGGTCTTCGCTGAGTACGACTGAGTTTGGATCCAACCCATTGCCTACTCCTACATGATGGGGAATCTGTTACTTAGGCTTTTTTAAATTATGGTGATAGCATTTTATATACGGCCAAGAAGGGCAAAGATTTTCATATATATATATACATCTAGCTTACGATCTTCTCCCATTTCTTTACAGACCAGGAGACCTGCTCAGACAATAACGCAGGCTGCACACATGAATGCATCCAAGGCCCCTTTGGAGCCCAGTGTTCTTGTCCATTCGGTTACCAGCTGGCCAACGATTCCAAAACCTGTGAAGATATTAATGAATGTGACCCCCCAGGGTTTTGTAGTCAGCACTGCCACAACGAAAGAGGTTCTTCTAGGTGTTACTGTGATGAAGGTTATGTGTTAGAACCTAATGGGAAGACTTGCAAAGTAGCAGGTGAGGAATATCCAGATAAATGCAGCGAGACACAAACGCACCCCCCCCTACCCTGGCTATTGGTTGTGCAGCCGCCGATGGTCCTGTTACTTGGCAAGAGCTTAAATGTTTGCTCATTGCTAACTCTTTTAATGGCGTACTGCCATTAAGTTGATTCCAACTTATGCCGACCCTTCTCAGGGTTTTTTAGGTACAAAGAATTCAGAAGTGCTTTACTAGTGGCTCCTTCTGGGAATACATGGTTTACCCCAAACCATAGAGATGGCAGAGAACAACAATTCCACCTGCCTTGTACTGTCTGGGTGGTCTTGGTTGTCCCCCTCTTCTGAGAGGCACAGTAAGGACTATAGCTCTGGCTCAGGGCCCAAGCAACTGAGTTATACCACTTGGTTTTAACTTTATGGTGCTTGTTATTGACATTTTAGTTATGTGTGTAGTTGGGGGGGGAGTTTATTACCTGCAACCGCCTGTGTCATTTTGGTTGACGGCTTTAGACACTGGCAAAGCAAGATCGCTGCCAACGTGGAATACTTGACTAATATAGCACCAATAATTGCTGTGTTCTACTTTGTACTTTTCACAAGTGTGCTGTGAGCAAAACATTCCTGTTCCTCTTCGTGGAACAGGCGAAGTTGCCTAAAACCAAACCAAGTGACTGTTTCCTCCAGCTCAGTCTCATTCTCTCATTGGCTAAGGTGGCGGGGGGTGGGGGGTGGAGAAGGTCATCTAAACCAGTGGTTCTTAACCTTTGTTACTCTGATGTTTTTGAACTGCAACTCCCAGAAACCCCAGCCAGCACAGCTGGTGGTGAAGGCTTCTGGGAGTTGCAGTCCAAAACTCCTGAGTAACCCAAGGTTAAGAACCAGTGATCTAAACCAAGTCTTCATCTGTATTGACCGGCAGCAGCTCCCCCCGCCCCTGTTTTCAGTCCTCCTCAGCTCTACCTCCTAGTGGTGCCAGGAATTTCATGTAAGTCCTTTTAGAGGAACTGCTGGGTAGCTCATTGGATTAGATATCTGGCTGCAGAGGCAGAGGTTGGGAGTTCAATTCCCCACTGGGCCTCTTTAACAAGGGCTGGACTTGATTACCTATAGGGTCCCTTCCAGCACTGCAGTTCCAAGATGATGATGATGATGACATAAGCCTCCTAGTGGTGCCAGGAATTTCATGTAAGTCCTTTTAGAGGAACTGCTGGGTAGCTCATTGGATTAGATATCTGGCTGCAGAGGCAGAGGTTGGGAGTTCAATTCCCCACTGGGCCTCTTTAACAAGGGCTGGACTTGATTACCTATAGGGTCCCTTCCAGCACTGCAGTTCCAAGATGATGATGATGATGACATAAGAATCAAAGCGTTCCAAGATGATGATGATGATGATGATATAATCAAAGCAAGTGCACTGACAACTGCTAAGTGGTGGCCTTCCTCATCATGAAATCTTGCAAATTAAACATGACCGTTTCATTAAAAGAATTACCTCTAGCAGTGGTGAGTATAATGTTGGTTTTATCCTTGCCTGTTTTTCTTTCTTTCAGAATCTGGGCATCTCCTGTTGGTGGCAAGCCGTAACCAGATTGTGGTTAACAACGTAACTTCCCATGCCCAGCGCATTTATTCTTTAGTTCGAGATGGAAGGAACATTGTTGCTCTTGATTTTGATTCCGTGACTGGTAGAATATTCTGGTCCGATATCACACAGGACAAGATTTGGAGTGCATTCCAGAATGGGACAGATAGAAGAGTTGTAAGTCTTTTGTTGAGCGCAGGCAACATGTGGTCTGATTGCATGAACAGTTTACGCTTCCCCACAGCCTCACACAGAGGCACCGCTTTTGAAATAGATTGATGTTGAAGTGTGGTCAGCAAACAGTGTACAGGGTAGAAGACAAGGCCAACAGCTGGGTACGTCTTCGCAGTAAGCATGTCAACCTCCTTCATGAACATAATGTGCGGAGGAAGATAATGTTTTAATTGAAAATGGTCCCGTTTGCATTCTTTGATTGAAAGTCTTGGACTGCACTGGATTGGTCTAGTCATTACACATGCATTAATTCTTATCATGAGCATGTGCTGTGTTATTCAGAATGGGGGTGAGAACTTTGTTGTGTGCTATGGGAATCCCAGTGCATGGCTGATAATGGGATAGGCTGGATCAATCCCATTATTAGAATTTCTTGACTGAGGACGTTGGCTCTGTTACTATTTTTTGAAAGCGTTGTTATTTGTTTGATGTGGGAAGCTCCTGCTCAAAGCCGTTAGTTGTTATCTGCTACAATGAGAGCAAACACTCCTGGCAGAGAAGAAGCAGCTCCCAGCGGGCGAGGCGACCTCTCATTTCTGCCTTTCTGCTTAGAGTTAGGGCATAGGTTCAAATACTTTCTCTGGCCAATCCTAGTGGCGATTAGGTAACTAGTATCCTATTGAATTCTCACAACATTCTGTGTAATCGTGCTAAGTTAATAAAAAGAGTTCTCAAGGCATTGCTTTTAAGCTCCGCTGGCTCAGACATCTGTGGTCGACTTCTTTGTACTTTCTCTAAGGCTAATTGCCTTCCTATTGTTCTGTGATCACCCACCCACATCATTAGCCGTCCTTTGTTCTGTGATCACCTACAGTTTGATATCTGTCCACATTTTATTCTTCAAGGATCCACAAGGCAGAGTATATTTCCTTGACGTTTGCAGGTTTTGTATTGATACATGAGTTTTGTGTAACATAATAATACTATTAATAACTTATTTTGTAGATACAGGCCATCATGAAAAACACGAGTTGTGTTGGCCACTTTGTTAAACAATTGATGGTAGTGATGACTTTTGGTTTACTCAGGGCTTGACATGTCATTAGGCAAAGGGAAGTGACTGGATCAAGCAACAGAGAGATGCTTGTGGGATTTGCTGACTCAGGTGCCAACAAATCATGATTTCACTCTCCGTAAATGGAAAGCACTTTTCACTGCTTTAGTTTAGGAGGCAATACATTGATATATAATGCAGGAAATGTTATGGGTTTGGGTGATCTGGTTCACATTTTTTTCCATTGACCACATAACATAAAAGCTAGTGCAAATCAGCCCCCCATTTCCACCCCTCTCTCATTGAGGTTTCTACTTTTTTTGATAGCAGATTCATTTGCATTGGTTCAGGCACTATGGTAAACTAGCGCGGAAAAGTGTGAGCAGTGGTGCTGGAGATTGGAGCAATGGTGCAGCGGTTGTGGGGGCACTGTTAGTAGACAGTTAATGTGAATGTGCCCAGGAAACCCGAATTTACCAGGTGTGACTTTACAGTGGACGAATTTGCATTTTTATCACTGTGTAGTTGCACCCTTAGGCAAATTGATTCATTCTTGGTTTTGAAAATGCAGCGGAGCTAGCTCTTATTCTTTTTTTTTTTGTATATTAGTATGCTGTTAACATTAATTAAAGTGCTATCTAAACACAAGATGATAAAATGCTTCCTTCTGTGATCCAGATAACCAGTTTTAGTACTGCAATGAATAGCTTTCATTTAGGCAATAGCCTTTATGCTTTTGAGGAACATGGATTTTGCAGCTTAGCTGTATTTGTTAATAATCTTATATTTCTCTTCTTCTATAGGATGGTAATTAATCTTTGCACATCTCCAACTATAAAGTATTACAAGAGTGCCAAGTTCTTCCTTCATTGTTTTGGGCAGGTGTTTGATAGCGGTGTCACTGTAACGGAAAGCATAGCCGTGGACTGGGTCGGCCGCAATCTTTATTGGACAGACTTTGTTCTTGAAACAATCGAAGTCTCCAGACTTGACGGGACTCACAGGACCGTGCTGATCAGTGAAAATGTCACAAACCCAAGGGGACTAGTGTTAGATCCCAGGACAGAGTAAGGGTTTTTTTTTAAAATGTGCCTTTGGATTTGAATGCACATACTGTAGTTATATTCTTGCTAAAATGTATTTTTCAGTGACATCTAATTACCTTTGCCCCTCCAGTGATCTTCTTTGTCATGGACAATACAGCAAATAAGTACTGACTGAAGGAACTAATGTTCCTTCTTTTGCTTTTAGTTAACATTCATTGCTTTTAATTAAAATTCATAGGATCTTTAACAACTCAGTTGCTTTACCACATTCCCAAATCTTGTGTTGGGTCCTTCTTAAGTCAAGTTCCACAATGAGAAAAATTTAGGGTTTCTGGACACTTTTCTCCCAGTTTATGTTCCTGTATGATTTAGACTTCTCCACTCACAAGAAGCTAGCTTCCAGTTCTTTAGTTAAGGTCTTCTCAGGTAATATGTGGAAAGACACTGAGTGTTAGAGCAGTAATGAGCAGCTCAAAAAGGTCTAGCTGAGTCTGTCGAAGGCTGATTCAGGAGATTAGGGACAACGTCCAGTGACTAGTGAGTATAAGCTGAACTCTGGCATAACATAGTTTGTGCTTTTTAAAGCAGAGTAAGTAACCCAGGTGTGTGCCGAAGAAAATCTGAATTCTGTCAAATGCTTGTTTATTTTGCATAATTGAACTTCCTTAAGCTATAGTCCATTCCTAACCTCCTTAGGTAACTATCTAAGGGGATGAGAACTGACTATAAATGCCCATTTCTTGATGGAAAAAAAAACCCATCAGCAATGGCATGCCCACAACAAAGTTCCTGGTATGTTTATAGAAAGCAAAATAAATGTAAATTTACTGCTGGCCACTGGTGGTAGGGCCCAAACATGAAACACTCCAAAATGGGGGTGGGGGCAAAGGCAGTATTTGATCCACTGCATTGGAGCCTCACCTGTCCAGAGGTAGCTCATTCATAACACCAAGTGAGATACGGTCCCACCTTTAACTCAGGCTCTGCCTAGGAACCCAACACCTGCCTGTCTCCTTATACAGAATGTGTGTATGTGTATTTGTATTCATATCTCTATATAAGATGGAATGCCTCAATGGATGGATATCCATTATCCTACCACCGCTGGTTGTTATGCCGTCTGTTCTACAGACTGCTGTGAGTGCCAAGTAGCACTGGACCTGAAAGCCCCAGGGGTTTTGGCAGTCCAGCTTCATTAAGTGACGTGAGGTTTTAGGATTATAGTATTATGAATGAGGGTGAAAACCTTTCCCCCTATTCCCATTCACTCTCCAGGAATTTCAAAGCAGAAAAAATTGGAACATGCATGCCTGAAAAGAGTCACTGTGAAGATTAGCCATTATATTGTGGCCCTTTTTTCACTACAGCAAAACTTTACACACTTTTTGACAAAGAGATTGTTGTGACATTGTGATGTACAGAAATTTTGTTGCTGCTGCTTTCTGCGATCATTAATCAGTTCCTTTCCACAGCGCTCACGTGATGTTTTGGACAGACTGGGGCCGGAACCCTCGAATCGAAAGAGCCAGCATGGATGGCACATTGCGAACCACCATCGTCAGCAATAAGGTCTATTGGCCCAATGGACTCTCCATTGACTACCCAAACAAACTCCTGTATTTTGCAGATGCCTATCTCGACTACATTGATTTCTGTGACTATAATGGAAACAACAGGCGGCAGGTGGTGGCAGGTGATTTGGTAAGAAGAAACGTCTCCCACTTTTACTATATTTCAATATTTTGAGTATTGGATGACCGAGTAAGTTGAGCCAGCAAGTGGCATGAAACAAGTGGGTTATAAAGAGGTTACCATACAAATACTGTCTGTCTGATATATGATCCTAATCTGTGTTGTGCAAGCCTCCTGGTTAAGAGGGAATTGAACCTAAGACCCTCCAGTCCAAGTGAAACAGTCTGTTCACAAGGCCACAGTGGATTTCAAAACCAGTGTGAAATTTTCTATGGTTTAATGTCACAGCCATGAAGATAGTACTAAGGATGGGATTGCCATAATTCTAGGACTTCCTGTCCCAGAAATCCCTTAAAATCCTCTAGGTAGACTTCTGAGAACTGGGAGGAGTCTTTCTTCTGTTGTTACATGTTATCCATGGGAGCTTGGTTTATTAGAGGCTTCCTCTATAAAACCTAGTGGGTAGCGAGTCAACTTTCAGCAAGCAGCGTGACTGAGGAGGGGGGGGCATTCTCTTCCGGTTCCCACCTAAAGCATGGGGAGTGACGCAGACCACAGCAGTATGAAGACCTCTGTTTTCCTTTCTTCTTTCTTTTCCCATCCCAGAAGTCTGCCTAGGGGATTTTAGGTGGCTTCTGGGGCAGGGAGTCCTGGAATTACATCAAACCCATCCCTAAATAGTACTTCATGGGGGACAGTATGAGATAGGGAGAAGAAAGCATTCTGGGAATAAGTTGCTTTTTCTGCTTCCTCCTGTGTTGGCTGCTGAGAAGCCACCTTTCGTAAGAAGAAGCTGGTTAATTATGCTCTATTTCAGTAAAAGACTGAGCAATGAAGCTTACATTTACCAAGCATTTGGTTTAAATTTCTCATTCAAATGACACTTGGGAGCAGATGTAAATTAAAACTTTCCACGTTAATCTTCCGTGTCACCTCTTGTTAACAACAATAATGAGAACAAACCCTTTTTGCCCTTGCCGTTAGGTATTACGACATCCGCATGCACTTACTCTCTTTGAAGATTTTGTATATTGGACAGATCGATACACCCATCGAGTAATTCGAGCCAACAAATGGCACGGAAGGAACCAAACAGTCATGATTTATAATGTTCACCAGCCTCTCGGTATTGTTGCAGTCCACCCTGTAAAACAGCCTGCTGGTAAGTTCAGCCAGTTTACTTTGGCAATGGAAAAGCAAACCGTGCAACTTAAATCACAGTAAGCATCAGGAATACTTTGAATACATCCAGCGGTCATCATCGTCAGACTGTACAAAACTGAAGAACTTGAGCGTTTTAGAGAGCTTTCATGAGCATGCAGTGCTATTTTATGGCTCACATGTTGGGGGCAAAGCCCTCAACATGCGAGCCACAACAAATTCTAGCCTCCTCCCCAGGAATACAGCTCTTAAGGCAGAGTGTGACCCACCTTTGATATAAGTGTTCAACATAGTTGGGATGTCTGGGACACCATACAGAGTTTTGCATATTTACCCGCTTTCATGTCAGAACAGAGCACTTCTTGCTGCTTTTTAGATTTACCAGTACCTTTTATTTCTCCTAGGTATCAACTTTTGTGACCAGTCCCCCTGTAGCCACCTGTGTTTGCTTTCTTCATCGGGACCTCGCTTTTATTCGTGTGCCTGCCCTTCTGGGTGGACTCTCTCCCCTGACCATGTGAATTGCATGAGAGGTGGGATCATGAGAGCTGGAAAGCTTTCTCTGAAAAATCAAACAGGCTGTTTTAAAGGGTTCTCTTGTACCTTGCTGCATATTTCTGCAGAGCACTGGGAAAAGGAAAATACTCCAAACTGTTGTTATATCATTGTCCCATTCATGTCCTATTGTTTGGGACTGTGGCAATTTTTTTGCAAACATACCCATTAATATATACCATTTTGCCACCCAGCAGAATCTGTACATGCTTCTTTTGAAAAAAAATTATACAATTTCAATTTGTTCAAATATATTATAAATCCATGTTTTACATACCTTGGGTATTATCTTATACCTTGAAAATATATTAGGGTTAAAAAAAAAAACCCAAGCATTTTGTCTGGAGTAAACTTAAGCGTCTTGAAATCATTAGGACTTAAGTGTAGTGCTCAAGCATCACATCCATCTTGCTTAGAAAGTTTCTCCTGAAGTTATGGTTGATGAGACTACAGTAGGATTGCCTTCAGTGACATTTCAGCATTCTAATGGGTTGTGGGATTACAAACACTGCCCTTCCGTCCCTACTCGCCTGGAAATGGAACTTTGAAGACAGTGGGTTGGTTCCAAAGGTTTCCTTTCAGTAAAAGAAAAGATATTCTTGCAGCAGAAGGACCCCTTTTGATGATAAAAGGGTAACTTTGAATCCCACCCAGAGAGACTTATTTCCAGGTGAGCACCCTTCATTGTGCTGCCTAGTAGTTTCATGCAGCAAATGAAATATTAGCCAGTACAAGCACGGCACTATGATGCCAACACTTTTCATTGTCAAGTAATTATCATTAATGGTCTGGAATGAATGGGGACTTGACCCCTTCAGAGACTGATTATGACTCTAATCTTGGTTGACATTGTTTAATTTGGCTTTCCATCAGCAACTCTCAGCAACTGTGCCAACCCGTGTTTTGTTTGCACTGTTTTTTTTTTACGACAGTGATACTGTTAAAAGTCTCTGTCGCTAATTGGTGGAACTACTGCTGCAAAACCATTATGATGACAAAAAAGTGTAGATTCCAAAACAGCACTGTTTGCTCTTTTAAAAAATTCAGAGCATTGGCAGTTTGATCCAGGATGGAATCTTCCAATATTTTTCTATTGGAACAAGAGGAAACCATGTGGTCAATACAAAATGCAAATGCAAGAGTAGGCAATACCTTTTATAAATCAACTAAAAAGTCATCATACAGTCTGCAAGTTTTTGTGGATCAGGACCATCCACTGCATCAGGCGTGTACCAGTCCAAAGAACTTAAAAGTCCAAAAGTACATGACAATATGGATTTCGCCAGACACATCTTTCTGAAATATGAGACAGGAAAGATGCAGGCTGCATTAAAACTATTGTTTTAAAGTTGCAGCTGAAGCAGCTGTGGATTGGACGTCATGCCCCAGTTCTTTAAACAAAGAGGCACAGGCCAGGAGCACATAAAACTCCCCATTTGGCCTTCCTTTGAAATGGACATATCTCTGCTTGGGACAGAAAACCAAAGACCTCCATCTGGGAATTGGGGTGGTAATTTAGTAAAATCACTAGATTTAACCAATTGAGATGAGATTAATGTCAGAATAATATTACCTAGTGGTTTCAGGTCTGCTCCTCTGATGTTAAGAGCACATATGTCGTCTTGTTGGTATGGGGGGGGGCAGGCGAAATCCAGCTGGCCAAGAAGTTTTGGACTTTTAAGTTCTTCACACTGGTGCATGCCTGATGAAGTGGATCCACGAAAGCTCACTGATTTTATGATGATTGTTTTAGTGGTCTATAAAGGTATCACCTACCTTTTGCATTTGTAATATTTTTCTGTATCCCCCATTTTGTTGAGACATTGTAGAAAAAGTATTTTAGGGAAAATAAATAGAACTGCCTGACTAATACCAAGGTTTCAGCCTCACTTTCTTATATGCAAGTAGACTTTAGGACTTCTGAAAAACAAAGGCTCTGTTATAGGTTGCACTTGCAACTGAAATATGTATGAGGAGAAAACTATATGTATTCGGGGTTCATTCAGCATGCACATCTCAGAGACTAGTTATTCTTTCAAGATCTGAACAATATGGAGTTTAAAATTGACCAATCTCAGTCAAAGAGATTGAATCGATGCAAAAAAACTTAATGAGTTTAGCTTTTAAGTAAAATCTTTAATAAAAACATAAATGATCAAGCTTTCGACAGGAAATCATGTCCTTCCATCTGTCGAAAGCTTGATCTTTTATGGGTTTATTAAAATTTTTACATGGAAGCTAAACCCATTAGTTTTTTTGGGGGGGGTCAGTTCAAGCTGACTGGGATTGTTAAACTTTTATTATGCTCCAAGAAACTAGAAATGTTTGCAATATGAAGTTCATTTAGTTATTATGCTCCAAGAAACTAGAAATGTTTTCAATAAGTTCATTTAAGTTCTCATGGATGCCATCTTGGATGTTGACTTAAGATGGACTACTCCAAAATTAGTATCTTTGAGGCAGTAGAACACACAGTCTTCATTTCTATAATTGGCAGCCCCAAAAGACCTGCGTTTCAGATCCTGGAGAGTCAGTGCCTCTCAGAGGAGGTAATACCAAACGCTTAAATATGTTTCAGAGCATATGATATGAATTCATGTTTGTTAGATTTTTAAAACCAGCCCCCACATCCAAGAATTGACAAGAGACAGGATGTTGCTTTGTTACCTGTAGACAATATGGAAGAATAAAATTTTGCTACTTGTGATGCTGTTTTACAGTTGAAGAGCCGTTCCTTATAGCTGTAAGAGATAACGTAATTTATGGTGTTTCTCTCAACCCTGAGGAGAAGACCAATGATGCCATGGTTCCAATAGCAGGAATCCAGAATGGATACGATGTTGACTTTGATGATTCGGAACAGATGATCTACTGGGTTGAAAATCCAGTGAGTAAATGCAATTATTTTGTATGGATTTTTATTTATTACGATTATTGTCGTCGTAATACAGCCAGAATAACTTTTTGTTAATATAACTGTTGTGTCATCCTGTGATTAATGAAGGGGAAAGTTACACCTGATTGATAGGCTGTGGGCCATTTTCCAAAAGTCCAACTTCCTGTTTAGTGTTATGATTGTTTGGAAGTGCTGCCCAAAGTTAATCCTGCACCGTACAAAAAATGTTTGTTTGTTTGTTTGTTTATTTCCTTCTTTTGTCCCCTGTCTTTCAGCTAAAACAGTCCCACGGTGGCAAATTATATAAAATCCACCAAAACAGGAACATGCCAAAATAACACAATCATGACCTGACAGAATAAAAAGGCCTCAGTAGGGTTGTTGCAGCTGGATAACCATGTGTGTCACCAACATTCTGCATGGTTGACTTGAGAATAATTCTGGTTCAGATATTTTCACAGAGAAACCAAATCCATCTTTCACTTCAACTCAAAATAGCCTTTCATGTTGGAGTCACTCATATCTTCTCTCCTTTCATTTCTGTATTCTTCTTCCTGTTTCTCTCCCGCACCTTGCTTTCACATCTTGATTTCCCCCCGCTCCCTATAATATCTGTGGAATCTAAATGGGGAAAAAATCAGATTGTAGCTGTAGTCCTGAGCACAATCAGGGTGTAATTACACAGGGAAATAGATACCAGTTTGGATGACTTGATGCAAGGGAAATGCTCTAGCTTGATCATGGTCTATGCCCAAGATCTTTTTTGGGGGAGTGAGATGGGGTATGACTGTAGGGCTTATAATTTTGGGGGCTGGACTGGAGTGCTTCACCAGCAGATGGAAGAGTTGCTTTAAAGGGGATTGCTCCTGTTTAAAGTGACCCTTTCCAGTGCAACCAGGTGTACACCTTTGCAGTCATCTGATCACACCCTCATTTGGAGTAAATCCCATTGAGCTAAATGAAAGTTACTTCTGTGTGGACTGGACGCAGGCGGACACCCATATGATTGTGTTGTGTCTTATTTGACAGTTTTATTCCATTCATTTCCTGTAGTTTCTTTAAAGTAAAAGGCCTAGAGATACTTCAACACAATGCCTAATATGTATACATGGGAGAGGGGAGTACAGGATTTTCTTGGTGTTCATGCTTTCTTTTCAATTTTGTTTTTGCTTCAAGGGTGAAATTCATAGAGTGAAGTCAGATGGCACAAATAGGACCACATTTGCCCCAGCAGCTGTTATTGGTACGCCAATCGGCCTTGCTTTAGACTGGATATCTGGAAACCTGTACTATAGTAACCCTGACACACAATCTATAGAGGTAGGTAGTGGAACTTTATAGTTTCAGAAATACTATTTTTTTAAAAAATTGGTCAATGCCACAATAAAGGTACTCAGAAGTACACCAAAAACTATCAACACTGTAACTCACCTTAATTTTCACCCATACTTGGTATAGTACACCAAAAACTATCAACACTGTAACTCGGCTCACCTTAATTTTCACCCATACTTGGTACGTTCTTTAGGTACTGAAGCTCCACAGTGAAGTTACCTATCGAAAAACACTGATTACTAATGATGGTACTACTACAGGGTCTGGAAGACCAATTGGTTTAACTGTGGATCCCATTCGAGGGTGAGTTCAACACATCCTAAACTTTTCTAACAGTAGTTTTATTTGGTATGTAGTGTAAAGTTAGTGTTATTTAAAAATGACACTTGTAAACTCAGTGTTGAGATCTTGTGCTCTGAATGCAGGAAAATTATCTTTGGGGAGATTCCTAGTATGTCAGATAGTAGATTGAAGTTCAGACCCAGCCCATGTCAAGTGGGGGGAAAGTAATCTTTCTCTAATTTCTACTCTGTGACAGGTCCCAATATGGTCATAATCCCAACACTTATAAGCAACCTGTTGGGGGCCATTTTTGCAGCCTTCATGGCCACTTGAGAGGTCCCTCTTAAAGACAGGGGGAAAGAGCAGTTTCACTTCCGTGCCTTCATACGTTGTCATTTTTGTGGTGGAGACCTTGGAATTGTCCCATAAGGTTCACCCCCCCCCAAAAAAAACACAAATGTCCCTGTGTAGGTACTTCTTGTTTCCATTTTTCTTCCAGAGGGAATGACTGAAAATGGTCATTTCCAGGCCTAATTTGAGTTGTGACGTGGGATTTGGCCAAAAGTTTGGTCCCCAAGGGGTTACATACCCTAACCCTAATCCCTCATCTAAAGTAAAATATGGAAGAAGAAATGCCCAGCCTTTAAAGTAGTGTCAATTTTAGCCCTTGGCTTCAGATAGTTATGAGCCTAGTAATGTATAAATATTAGAGTTTAAATATTCTGTTTGTTTGTTTATTTATTTATTTATACCCCGCCTATCTGGTCATTTTGACCACTCTAGGCGGCTTACAACACAAAAAACAAAATACAAGAACAATATATAAATAATAAGGAATTTGTACACAATTTAAAAATTCTATAAGATGGAAAAAGAAAAACATAATAAAGAAGGCAAAGGAAAAAGTCAGGGATTAACTGGGGGGAAGGCCTGCCTAAACATCCATGTTTTCAGTTGTTTCTCAAAAATACCCAGCGAGGGAGCTGCGCGAATCTCCGGAGGCAGGTTGTTCCAGAGGTGAGGAGCCACTGCCGAAAAGGCCCGGGTTCTTGTTTTTTCCTTCCGGGCATCCCTCCCTGAGTTTGGTGGCCCATATACCATGTGAACCTCCTCACTGACTAAGCGTTCCGCCAAGTATCGAGGCCCTAAACCGTTTAGGGCTTTATACGTAAGCATCAGAACTTTGAAGTCGATGCGGAACCGAATGGGCAGCCAGTGCAGCGCGGCCAAATAGGAGAAATGTAATGGTATTTTCTCACTCCACTAAGGAGTCTGGCCGCCACATTCTGCACCACTTGGAGTTTCCGCATCAACTTCAAAGGTAGCCCCACGTAGAGCGCATTACAGTGGTCTAATCTCGAGATTACGAGCGCATGCACCAAAGTAGTGAGTGCCCCCACAGATAGGGCCGCAGCCGGGCTATCTGCCAAAGGTGGAAAAAGGTGGTGCGGACCACTGACACCACCTGTGTTTCCATGGTGAGCGTCGGGTTCTTGGCGGTAAGGGTCACCTCCCCAAACGAGAGTCACCCACGCCGCCAATAATGGGGGCACCCACCCTCAGAACCTCTGTCTTGTCCAGGTTCAGCCTCAGCCCATTTTCCTGCATCCACTGCAGTACAGCCCCCAGGCAGTGCTGGAGGGACAGGACAGCATCACCTGCAGTTGGAGGAAAGGAGATGTAGAGCTGGGTGTCAGCAGCGTACTGATGACACGATGCCCCACACCCCCTGATGACCCCACCCAGCGGCCTCATATAGATATTAAACAGCATTGGGAAGATAATCGACCCCTGTGGAACCCCACAATTGAGATTCCACGGGGCCAAGATACTCTCCCCAGGCTGAATTCTCTGGGGTTGGTCCCCCAGGAAGGATTGGAGCCAGGCAAGCGCCAGGTCACCAATTCCCAACTCGGAGAGCCTCCCCAGGAGGATACCGTGGTCGACGGTATCGAAGGCCGCCAAGATGTTGAGAAGGACTAACAGAGATGTTTCTCCCCTGTCAGCCTCCCTCAACAGGTCATCATACAGGGCGATGTGCTGTTTGCAATGCAGTTTTATCCTTTGATGGTTACTTGCTATGTTTTGTCCCAATAACCAATATACATCATTACATATAGCATGCTTACTCAGAGTTAAATTCTGTTGTCTCTAAGTGTGGCTGGGTGAGTGGGCCTGCTATTGGGCTCAGATGCTTTACATCTATGGAAATGTACTCTACCTGATATGTCCACCATTTGCCATCAACAAGGGAGCCCACTATGGGTCTAATTTCTGCTACTGTCACAGCATCCATCTCTCCTTGACCTTGGGAATAAGTAGAAACTGAGGAAGGGGGACACACATGGACAAAGGCAGAGAACTTAAGTGGTGTGCACAGGCACATCAGGGAAGGGAGGCCACGTGGGGAAGATGGAGAAGAAAGAAGGCCAAGAGGGGAAACCCCACAAAAGAAAACAGAGATGGGGTTAATCAAGGGCTCTCTCAATGTAAGTTGTGTTGCTTAGAGGAAGAGAAGCAAGAAACCTCCCATCCATTGAGCCTTGGAGAGCTAGGGAGATAGACGCCTCAGGCCCAGCAAATTGCCACAGTTCCCTGAATTGGAAGGGACCCTACCAGAGGCTTCCAGCCAGGGGTGGCACTCACCATGGCCAGGCCAGTAGCCAGACTTCAGGAATGCCCAGCCATACCGCAGGGCAAACCTTGTGCTACTTTCAGCTGGGCAAAGCACAAGGATGAGATCTCTCAAGGAAGAGAATTTGTAAGCTTATAGTCAATTGGAAGAACTACCAATTGACTATAAGCTTACAAATGGGGCCACCTGTTCTCCTCACGAGGTAATGTAGGAGAAAACAGGAGACAACAGGAGTTCTGTTGAACTGGAGGGAGGGCCAGGAAGAGTTGCCATACTTACCTGTGAATACTGTCCTTACTGGCCTACTAGCTGTACACGCTTCAGAAGCATGTGAACCTGCTGTGGCCTGAATTTGTCTGTGTTGTGAAGTTCTCTGTAGCCCAAAGTCATCTGTGTATGACAAGCTTCTTACTCCTGGGTGGTGGGAGTAGCACGACAGTAAGTTCATGCAGATTTGTTGCTGTTATAAATTCAAACCACTTCATGCATATGTGCTTTGTTACTGAGCTCACAGACATTATTCATAGCTGAATTTTCAGTTGACGAGAAATAACCTGTATTGCAGGAAATTGTATTGGACAGACCAAGGAACTGACACTGGGGTCCCGGCAAAGATTGCCAGTGCCAACATGGATGGCTCAGATGTCAGAACCCTCTTCACTGGTAATCTAGACCGCGTAGGGTTCATCACCCTTGACAGGAAGGAACAGAAGCTGTACTGGCTGGTCACAAGCACTGAGGTGGTATGTGTACACACATGTTTATATACCTGAATTCTGCAGCCTAACACAGCTGAAGTAGTATGGGCTTTCAGGTAGGGAATATGCGGTAGGACAAGGCAGCATCTGTTACATTCCTTTAATCTGCAGCTGTTAATAGGTGGGGAATAAATTTTGCAGACTAAATTTGTTGGGGATGATTTTTCAGAAACAAAAAGAATGTAATTCCCTGTGTATCACAGAGCAATTCTATGCAGATCTGCTCAGAAGTAAATTCCAAAGCACTCAGCAGAGCTTACTCCCAAATAAGCATGCATAGTGAGGTGGCTTCTTTTTCTTTTTTAACCAGAAATGTCATGTATGTGGCAGTAATGTGTTTCTTCATGTACTGACTTTCTTCCTGGCATTGGGTGTCCTGAATGTATAGCCCCTGCCGAGGTTGAGGTTTTACACAGAATGGCAGGTTAAAATTGGCCAAAGAAAAACTTGTATTTCGTTTATTTGACAGCTCTGAATCCAAGCTTTATGTGGAAGTGTACGTATAGAATGTTATTTTCGGATGAAGTGACAAAAATAAAGAGAAAGCATATGTAATATTATCAGGCCACTGTGTGTGTGTGTGTGTGTGTGTGTATGTATGCATACACAGTACACACACTCTCTCAACTTATCTCTCTCTCTCTCTCTCTCTCGCTCTCAATTTGCTGATTAGCATTCTTAGTATAGAATGGTAATGATTTGTGAAAATTAGAATAAAACAAATTGAAAAGAAGCTTACCGTCTAATAAAAGATGGGATTATGTTATACAAGATATATGAATGCTTCTTGTTGGGTGTACATCTGTATGAAATTTGCCAAACATATGTCATTGAAGAAAATACTGATGTCTCTACTTCATTTGATACAACGTTTGAAGGGCTTCCATGCAGGAAGTTAATGGAAACGATGGTGCCCTAGCATATTTTTGGAATTACAGTTCCTTCCTTGCTTCATTGCCTGAATATATAAGTACGTAATCATAGACTCAAAAACTAAATCGAGCTACTGCTGTTTAGACAATTGTTTTGGATATTTTTTTTACCTAACGGACATGGCTTTGCTGCTGCCTTAGTTGCTCAAGAAGTTCTTTGTGCCGGAGTTCTTTGTTGGTAGGCTTAAAATGCCACGGCAGTGTTGCTTGAGGAGTTAACAGTGATCTGCTTTAGAAATATCTCTGATAGTAATAATTCAAGCAGCAAATTCTCAGGCAAACCATCGTTAGCCCCATTAGTGCTGGTACTGAATATGATGTATAAAAGGTTATGTGGTCTGCAAACAATATGACCAAGTTTGCATGCCTTGGATATAATGATCAGTATGAAAAGGAGTAGTGAACGGGTCAGCAGCTAAGGCATAGAATTGGAGGCATTCTCTCTTTATGTCCCTCTCTAATGAAAATGCTTTGAATTATGTTTGCTAGCAGAGAATATTCTTCAGGCATGCCGATAGTCAGATGAATGTAGCACTTTTTGTCTGGCCAGAGCTCGAATCAATTTTTTATTAAAAAAAGGAGCCACTCTGTTTTAGAATTTAAATCACAAAGTTCATGCACATGTGTTTGTGTTTCAAACCTCTTTGTGAGCATTGCAGTGGCTGTGGATTGTGGTCTAGGAACATTTCACCTGAAATTTTGGGGTGAGATGCCCTCCTTATTCTGAACATGGGCTGCCTCATGTACTCTAGACCCTACTGTTTCTCGAGAATGTAAAGGAAGGGGAAAATATCATTATAGACAGGGATAAGAACTGAGCATGAAAAAATTATAATATTAAAAATATTACGGTAGCATTGTTTTTTTAAAGGTAATGAATGAAGCTGGCCGTGATGCAGATAACATAAAAGTTGTAACGAACTTTATCTGAACAATTGCTTATGAAATCTAAGTTTTTTAAAAAGTAAAATTGAGGTGGTATCTGAACAAATGGGAAAAGTATTAAGTGAATAATGGCTAGGGGAAGGAGTAGGTCTGCATATATACCTGATGTAAGATTCTTCTTCAGAGAGGTCCACTGGTAATATTCAGTGTCCTTAATCTCCTAGATTGAACGAGGCAACGTGGATGGCACTAATCGGATGACTGTTGTTGCTCACCTCTCACAGCCGTGGGGAGTGGCTGTCTACGGGTCTTTCCTGTACTACACTGACCGGGATTATGAGGTCATTGAGCGGGTTGACAAGTCCACAGGAGCAAACAAAGTGGTTCTGAGAGACAACGTTTCAGGGCTGAAATGTCTCCGAGTGTATTACCGAGACAGTGAGTATATGAAGGCCCCAAGAAAGCTGTTCCACAAGGCCCTCATTTTAAATGATCGTTGTGCTTTATTGATTAATGTGCACAAAGTTGTAAATTACCAATAGTGGCCTTTGGCCCGATGGACGGGATATGCATTGAACGAATGAACAAACAAACAAACAAACAGATAAAAGTGTTTTTCTTTGGATTATAGATTCCGTTAAATGATCAAAAAAAATTCCAGCAAGAAACATTTCATTTCCTATTTTTAAGAGTGGTGCAAGCAAGAACGCCGTACGTATCTCTGGACTGAGAGGCCAGAGGTGCCACCTGGACTGAACGGTAGCAAGTGGAGTGAAGATCATTTTGTTTCACTGGTCCATTTAGGCATACATAAAACCGTTTGCTTGCTTGCTTAATTATTTAATTTATTAATTAAGAGTGATCCTAGCAAATCAGCTGATACAGGTAGTATCAGAAAGAAAGCATTTGTAAAAATACAGTATAATTTCTGGATAAAATATTGAAGGAAAATTTTTTCTTGCTGAAAAATTAGTTACGCGAAGCAACGCTCAAGGACCCACTGACTCCAAAGCAGTCTGGCAAGTTGTGTTTCTCCTCATGTCCTAAAGACGGGGCAGAGAGCCTTCCAAGGGGGACCTCCAGGTGAACTGGTGCCCTGGATTTGCTGTTGCCAAAGATACTTGTATCCTGGATTCTTTCATTGCTAGCCAATTGCCTCAAATAGATCATTTGATAATTTTATACTTTCAATATTTGTAACTGTAGGGGAAATACCGTGTTTTAGGTTTTGCTAGATTAAGGTACAATTGTATTTTTTAAAGTATAAGTTGAGATATTTTGAAAAGCAAACTTTTGTTAGTGCTGTTGGATGATGGTGTGAATAAACGTACAGGTCTCCCTCTGCTCTAGCTTCTGCCGGTTCCTCCAATGGCTGCAGCAACAACATTGGGATTTGCCAACAGCTGTGCCTTCCTCTGCCCGGTGGGCTCTTCTCTTGTGCCTGTGCTACTGGCTTCCAGTTAAATCCTGATAACAGGACCTGCTCCCCATACAGTTCTTTTGTCATTGTTTCCATGTTGACTGCAATTAAAGGATTTAGCTTAGAGACATCTGATCACTCCGAAGCAATGGTCCCCATGGCGGGAAGAGGTAAGTAAAGATGGTAGGAATTGAACAAAATCCTTTTCCGCATAATGTCATAATCCAGCATTGCAGATAATGAATTTTCTGACGTTCTGCTTGTAATTGTGCATACATCTCATGATCTGAGACTAAAAGCCAGGCACACAAGCTAGCTAACTAGAAACATTTCAGTTTAAGCTTTTGTGGACTGCAGCCCACTTCTTCTGAGACAAAAGCAGCTGCATCCAATGAAATGTGCTGCAGTCTGCAAAAGTTTGTGCCAAATAAAATGTGTTGGTCTTTAAGGAGTCACACAGGATTCCTTGGTATATTTATAATCAAAAGGAGGTCTTCTATACAGTAATATCTGTTCCTAAAGGCAGTCAGATAGACGTTTTTCATTTTGTTGGGGCAAGAATTTTTAAAGAGTATATGACATGGGAAAAAAAAACTTGGGGGATGTCCATTCCTTGTTAGAAAAGGGGTGGAAGGTAAAATCCAGCCGGTTCATCAGGAGAAGCCTGGGAGAGATTTCCTGTCTAGGCCAGGGGTGGGGTGGATGGGGCTTCTTGTGCAATTGGCGGATTCTGTCAGCCATCCCTAAAACTGGACCTGTGGAAGAAACAGATTTACAGGCAAAGGGATTTCTTAACAGCTGAAGGTGTCTGAAAGTACAACACAGAGCCCTGGAGCAGGAATATGCTTTTACCTTTGCTTTTGGGCCATCTGTTTGTGCCCTTAATGTTTGTATAGGAAGTGAAGGTGGCAGCCTTTCCTCACCCCCAGCCACTCCCTGATCCCAGCAGAGACTTACGAAAGGTTCTTATCTTTCTGTGTACTCTCACATGACTGGACAGAGAGTTTGCCAGTAGACTGGGAATCCCTGCCACATTTGTCATCTTCTGCCCTTCAACAGTCCTTGGGTGACTAGAGGATCCACAATCTTCCCAAGAGTCGAGGCACCCCAAGTGCCACAGTTGGAGTTCAGGACAGCCAAAGACTCTCTGTAGGAAGATTCAACTTACTTGGTAGTGCAGGGATTCAGTGTGAAGCTCTACTTCTTATCTCTTCCCCTTCTAGAAGATTTCTGGTTCAAGGGTCTGGGTATGGCTGGATCCTGATAGTACAAAGCAAGCTTTTTAAAAAAAAAAATCTAGACATATTGGCTTAAGAGTGACCTTGGCTGCCAGATGGGCAGTATAAAAATCAATCAATCAATTTGGGTCACAGGTACCACTCTTTGTCCATTAATCTAGCTAGAAGCTCGGGTCTCAGGACTTAACCAGGGGCCCATTTCACCGCCTGGCAGCAACATGGGACTGCATGCAAGTCAGTGCTGGTGGTAGCAGTCATGTGACAATGTCTGCTGCCCCCAAATTCCTTGAGAGTTGTACGTTCAGGTCTGCATCTGGGGCATAATAGGCTGCCAGTTCAGGACTAAGCTTCAGGCTGAGCCAGAGCTTCAACTGACCCACCATTCTCTTAAGCAGAGCAACCACCAAGCATATGATAAAACATGGTTGAGGGCTTTATATTCAGTTGGATTTGTTTTTTGATAGCTTAATCAAGGTCCCTTAGGGCTGGTGTTTATGGGCATTGGACTAACTCCTCATGGTGGTGAAATTAGGCTGGCTGGCTTATACGAGTATCTCCACTTGAGCAATTCACAGAATATATCTTGAATGAAGATAGCAGGGGCTTCCTAGCTTGGGGACTAGCGGGGGTTGACTTTAACACAAACAGTAGGGAGACCACCTAGTGGTTACGTACCTTGACAACAACCACTGTCTTTCCATCCTTTGGTTTGATATCTCCCCAGCAGCTGGGCTGGCAGGGCTCATCAGTTGGCAGGCAGGTCCAGTGTTGCTTGGATCCGTCTCCTTTAGGCTGGGCCAAGCTTATTTGCCTGTAACCAGTAAAAGCTGGGGCCACTTAATTTCCATTAAAGCTGTGTGCTGTGGGTTTACTCACATGCTCTGCTGGGTCTAGCTGACACCTGGGCCTGCAGCCAGATTTCCAGAGGAGATGCACTAATGGAATTCCATTCATTATCACTTTTTTACTACATTGTAGATATTAGTCAGTTGGAAAAAGAAAAAACCTCTCTGAAATTTGCTCAGGTTCTTTGTCAGTGGATCATAACCTCTCGCAATATATATATACCATGCTTTCATAATTTCAGGAGCTGATTTGTACATATATTTATATAGTTCTCATTACTCCCATTGTTCTCCGGCTTAGCAGTTTCATGTATGTATGGATGCCACTAAAATTTCACGTGCTTGAGTAAATGTGAGCTGATAATGGAAGTCTGCAAGGCAGTATCATTGAGCACACAATGTCAGTCCGGGAGTGATGAATGAGCCTGTGTGAACCAGCCTTGTTAATAGGTGGCATCCAGTTGCTTCTGATTACAGTGATGCTGTGAATTAACAACCTTCAAAAAGTGCTACGATTAACAGCTTTGCTCAGATCTCGCAAACTAAAAGCTGCGTCTTCCATTATTGACTGAATGCATCTTATGTTAGGTTTTCTTCTTTTCAACTGCCTCCAACTTTCTCTAGCTGAAGGAAAGTGGTTGGGTTCTTTACAAGATGAAGATGTTTGTTTAATTTTTTTCATAATCTGAGCCTGATGCTTTACGATTAAATGGGATGGGCGCTGGGGATCCTTTGGTCATGCTGGGCCAGAACATTTGTGGGTGGGCCAAGGCTCTGCATTCCTGAAATAGAATTTAAAAGTGAAAATAAATGATCTGTTTCCTTTCTCGTAATGTTTCAGGAAGAAATGCGCTACACGTGGATGTCCATATGCCTTCTGGTTTCATTTACTGGTGCGACTTCAGTAGCAGATATCCAACCCAAAATGCAATACGCAAAATCAAGCCAGACGGCTCCTATTTTAGAAATGTCATCACAAATGGGATAGGACTCAATGGAATCAGGGGCATTGCAGTTGATTGGGTAGCAGGTTGGTACTACTTCTGTTGACTGTTTAAGTAAAATCTTGAAACAAAAAGACCAGTAATGGCCCTCCAGAAGTCTTTTCATGCAAAGGGAAGTCACAGTCAGTTTATAATTGTTTAGTTCTAAATAAATACGCACAGGAGGACTTCAGCCTGAGAATGGAAGAAGTACACGAGGTTAGCTAAAAATGTTGCCTCTTCTCTCCCTCCCTTTCTCTGTTATGAATTCTTCAGATACTGTATTACCTCTGAGTTTGCAAAATATCCTTTAAATTCTGATGGCACTCAAAATTTTTGTTCCTCATTTTTGTCAACTTTATATAATCCAGGATAAGCGATGTGCTTGTGGTAATGTGATTTGAGGCAAAATCTAGGGCCTAGAATACATCCAACATTTAACAGATGGTTATGTTTTCTTGCTTTACTCCTAGTTCTGTTCAGGTTTCATAGATGAACACAGCACTAAAACATGGTTTAGCACCATGATGGCAAGCCACAGCAGGCCTTGGGCTCATATGTTCCCATCCTCCCTTTGGCGTGGCAGCAAGGAAGAGTCTGGAAGCTCACATTACCGTTTTCAGTCAACAGCAGTTTCCTGTCGATTTAAAATGGTAATGAAAGCTTCCAGACTCAACCTCATGAAAAAAATGTGGTTACTTTTATCAGTGGTTGTTTGAAAGAAGATAATTTCCAATTCCATTTTATAAATCTTATTTCAGATAATCATGGTTACTATTAATCACAGATTAAGATTCAGGCAACACACTAAATTGTGTCTAATCTGAAACCGAAGCAAAAGGAGGAAACATGCGAGCTTGCCACTTACTGTCTCAGTCTTGTAGCTGTAAATCACAGGTTGGCAACCTCCGGAGGCTTGAGGCAGGCAAACCTGATCATCTCTGGACTTTGGAGGGCTACACCCACTCCCATGACACCCAAATTATGTTTGTGTGTGTTGTGTTTTTTTTAACTAAAAAAACTCTTTATATCCTCTAGAGCAGTGGTCCCCAACCTTGGGCCTCCAGATGTTCTTGGACTGCAACTCCCAGAAGCCTTCACCACCACTTCTAATGGCCAGGATTTCTGGGAGTTGAAGTCCAAGAACATCTGGAGGCCCAAGGTTGGGGACCACTGCTCTAGAGCAAGGGTCCCCAACCCCTGGTCCAGCGGTCAACGGCCTAGGCAGGACCGGGCTGCGGGCACAGATCTCCTGCCCCCCACGAACATGCCACGTCCATGCATGCAAGCGCGCTCCGCCCCTGCGAGTGCACTGTGTGCATGCGCACGAGCGTGCCACATCTCCCTGAGGGTGCGCCACACCCCCCTGTGAGCATGCCACACACCCCAACCGGTCCACGGTTGGGAAAAGGTAGGGGACCACTGCTCTAGAGGCCATTAAAAAACCCCATGAAAAATGTTTTGGAATGTGGTGGATCCAGAGGCACTGGCTCCCGCTCAAAACTTGGCAATATTTCCCATGCCTTTTTTAGGGCATGAAGCGATTTTTTGAGTCCCCACGTGAAAAAAAAACTTTTAAATTAGAGGAGAGAGCCTGTTGCTGCATTTGAGCCCATGTGGGCTGTAACTTGGTTTTAGTGTGTTGAGTTTAACCCTTAAAGGGGGTTGGTGTGTATAGACACATCAGTGGGACTGTTTTGTCCTCTTGCAAGCTGAGAATGTGCAGAATCAAGGGAGCTGTGCTAGAAATACATGTTAAACCATGATTAAGATAAACCAAATCTTGCAAAAACATTATATGGTATGTATAACTGTTTTTGTGTTTTTTATACAGGTTGTTTTTTGGTGAAAAGCATCTTAGCTTTCCCCCTACAAAACAACTTATAAAGAGGGGAGGTGTTACATACAGCACTGGTGTTACCTGTCTGTCATGGGTTTGGAGGGAAAGTTCCATCCTATGGGGAGTGGAAGGCGGGACATCAGGAGGAGGGGCTGTACTGTATAAATATGTGATGCCTGTGTGGTGAGAGAGAGATGCTAAGAGACGCTGAGAGACACTGGGTTGTGACGAAGCAGCAGCTGGGAAGAAGAAGCTGTTGTGGGAGTCTGTGTGTCAGACAGGGTACTTCTGTGTGTCAGAGTACCAACCTGATAGGTTCAGGTGTCTGTTGGTTAGCCAGAACTGATAGGTTCAGGGTCTGTGCTTCAAGTTAAGGGTTCTGGGTGAACCAAACTGTATGCTTGTATGAGTGAGAATAAGCCACGTTACTTCATCCTATTCACCTGATTGTTTTATTATCCCTGTGTGTGTATTTAAATAAACCTAATTCTTTTATTGTTTAAAAATCCATCCCTGGTCTGTGTGACTTATTAAAGGGAATGGTTGGTGGCAGCTTAGTAACTGTGTGACATATCCCAGTAGGTCTGGGTTTGTCACAGCCACGTCCATGCATGCTCCGCCCCCTGCGAGTGCACTGTGTGCATGTGCACGAGCGAGCCACATCCCCCTGAGGGTGCACCACGCCCCCCTGTGAGTGTGCCACACATCCCAACTGGTCCACGGTTGGGGAATGGTAGGGGACTACTGCTCTAGAGGCCATTAAAAACCCCATGAACAATGTTTTGGAATGTAGGGGATCCAGAGGCACTGGCTCTTGCTCAAAACTTGGCAATATTTCCCATGCCTTTTTTAGGGTATGAAGCGATTTTTTGAGTCCCCACGTGAAAAAAAAAACCTTTTAAATTAGAGGAGAGAGCCTGTTGCTGCATTTGAGCCCATGTGGGCTGTAACTTGGTTTTAGTGTGTTGAGTTAAACCCTTAAAGGGGGTTGGTGTGTATAGACACATCAGTGGGACTGTTTTGTCCTCTTGCAAGCTGAGAATGTGCAGAATCAAGGGAGCTGTGCTAGAAATACATGTTAAACCATGATTAAGATAAACCAAATCTTGCAAAAACATTCTGGCCTGTCTTGGATAATAGTTTAGGCATTCAGATGTAACAATTGACTCCGATTAAGGAAAATAAACTGTTGCTAAACAGCTTGACTGAAATAATGCCTCTAGTGTACTAATATACTATATTGTCTATATTTATTTTACTAAATTCTGTAAACTGTAGATACTTGTATATTGCAGTAATATTTATTTATTTATTTATTTTGCACACAGAATCTATTTTACTAATGCCTTCCTAACGGAGACTTTTATAGAAGTTCTGCGTTTAAATACTACTTACCGCCGTATACTACTCAAAACCACTGTGGATATGCCGAGACATATTGTCGTAGACCCCAAAAACAGGTATCTCTTTTGGGCAGACTATGGACAGAACCCCAAGATTGAACGTGCACTTCTTGATTGCACCAATAGGACTGTGCTGGTGTCCGAAGGTATTGTTACACCACGTGGCTTAGCAGTAGATCGCAACAGCGGTTACATTTATTGGGTGGACGATTCTTTAGATATGATTGCAAGAATTTCACATGATGGGGGGGAGCCTGAAATTGTCCGCTACGGCAGCCGTTACCCAACTCCGTATGGCATTACCGTGTTTGAAAACTCTATCATTTGGGTGGATAGGAATTTGAAAAAAATCTTTCAAGCCAGTAAAGAACCAGGGAATACCGAACAGCCGACAGTTATAAGAGACAACATCAATTGGCTGAGGGATGTTACCGTTTACAACCACAATGTTCAACCACGCTCACCGGCTGATGTCAACTATAACCCTTGTCTGGAGAACAACGGAGGCTGTTCCCACCTGTGTTTTGCACTCCCTGATCAGCAGACACCAAAGTGTGGGTGTGCATTTGGATTGCTACAAAGCGATGGCAAGAGATGTTCCATTTCAACAGATAATTATCTGATCTTTGCCTTGGAGAACGCCCTTAGAAGCATGCATCTGGATCCTGAGAACCACAGCCCTCCATTTCGCACAATGAATGTATTGAGGACTGCAGTAGCTCTGGACTATGACAGTGTAAACAACATGATCTTTTTCACTCAAAGCTCTCCAGCAGGCACAGGAAGAATCAGTTCGGTTTCTATCTACTCCGGAACTGGTAACCCTACTGTTGTGGCGTCAGGTAAATATTACTACATACCAGAAGCTGGGAAAAGTATCTTGCAACCCAATCTGATAGATATGGACTCGGCAGAAATATGGAGTCTACAAAATTGCATTGCATAAGACTGACAATGTCACCAGCTACTGCAAGTTTTTTGGGGGGAAAAGTCTGATTCCCTCCCGTGGGTCCCAAGATTCCTTTGGGATATCCTTCATTGTGCCGAAGCTGTTGGGGGAGGGGGGTGTCATAGGATGGGGAGGGAAATCTTCAATTTTTGAAAATCATGAATGCTGGTAAAACCATCCTGGTGACAGCAGTTTTTGGAAAATAAGGCCCCGCTCCCCATGATTTTGCATGATTTCCCATTATAGAAGGGATCCCGTGAAAGCTTTGTGACCTTCAAGGGACAATCACAAATGCTTTTCTTCTGAAAAAAATCACCATCGCTGCAGACGATGTCAGCCTTAACTCAGCATAACTTGCGGGAACAGGATCTCACCCATTCTGTGGAAGTTTTCACAATAAACTTGTAGCTCTAAGGTTTGCAGTCCCACAGTTCTGTAGCAAGGGGCCCCAGGTTACAACAGGACTTCTCTTCCCCTCCGCTCCCCACTGCAGCCTGCCTACACAGGGGCGTGTATTTCATACTCTTAATTCTGGGGACCAAAGTTGTGATTCAGCTCCGTCGAATAGCCCAAAATGTAACTGCCAGCCATTCACGCTATAGGATTTCTTTCAAAATATAATTAAGACTTAAGTTTGTAAGGCTATAATTCTAAATACGTTTTTGAATGCCAATTTTAGGAAGGCTCAGTTTGATCGAAGTATTGTTTGTCTTTGAATTGCTTTTATATTTCTAGATTATAATACAGTAATACTTTGTGATAAGTTAAATAATTTGATACTGTGTTCTTGGCTGTGGCTTAAAGTTTGAATACTTAATAATATTAATATTCCAGCTGTGTCAGTAATTCTGCTAAAAGATAGCAATCCTAAATAGATTACCATGGAATTTAGGCCACGGTGACTTCAGTGAAATGTGCTTTTCTTTAAGTAAATGAAGGCCTTTAATGGTTTCTTCCATTATCACCAGCAGTACTATAAAGGCCACAGTTCTTCTCTTTGCTTACAATATTTATTTAGAAAACTTAAGTTGTGTTAAAACAATATGTAAAAAAAAAAGCAAAGTAAACAGATCTAGTGTAGACATTGTCAAGCTAGGAAATAGTCATGTTTCCATGATAGAATTTCAAGAAGTAATGCTTCACTCTGTAGTTATGGGGTCTGGTTTTCCGCTTCCTCCTATGGAGCAGAGTCTGCAAGTTTTTGTTAGAACAGATTGGCATTAAATTCTCAATGACAGTTTAAACTAAAACAAGAAAGGTTTTCACATAGATGGTTATGTTATGTCTCCTTCTATGTTATGTCTGATGCATCTTAAGATTTAGGAACCCCAGATGGCATAGCCTTTGATTGGATCAACAACAGACTCTATTACAGTGACTATCTAAATCAGACAATCGGTTCCATGGCTGTGGATGGATCTAATCGATCTGTGGTGGCCCGTGTTCCACGTCCAAGGGCCATTGTTTTGGATCCTTGCCAAGGGTAAGGGGTACTTTACAAGCTGGAATAAGGGAAACCTCTTTCTGTCTTACTTGTCTCCGTTGGCTTCCAGACTTCATTTTCGTTACATAAATATAGGAGTTTCTGGAGTATCTTGCTTTTCATCGAGGGCCTCTGTAGAATTTAATATTTGACGTTCTGTATTAGAGATGGGCACAAATCAGGAAAAAAATGTGATTTGTTTTTAATTCATGATTTGTCAACAAACGACAAATAACAAATTTATGATTTTTTTCAGACAGATTGATGAATCAGTTTGTCAGTTAATTTTTGCCTTTAAAGCTGTACAAAATGCCCCCCCAGTACCTAGAGACACCAAAATCTCAGAGAAGCTTCCTCTGACTCTCTTCTATAAGCCCTGCAAGTTTGGTGACATTTGGGTTTCAGACATCCGAGTTACACACCCACGAAGTGGGCCCCTCTAGGAAAGTGTCGTTTAGCAGCTGGCATGGGGAAACCAAATCTTCACCTAACTTGGAAGGATTGTAGAGGAAAGTCATGGGAAGTTTCTCTGTGAATTTGATATCTCTGGGTGCCTGGGGGGGATTTTTCTATTGTACACCCTCTTTGTGGGTGTATAACTTGGACATTTGAAACCTAATCTTCACCAAACGTGACGGGATTGTAATGGAGAGTAAATGGAAGCTTCCCTCCAATTTTGGTGTCTCTAGGTGCTTGGGGAGGGGCATTTTATAGCCCAACAAATCAACAAAGCACAAATCGCTAAAAATCCATTGATTTGTATTCCTCAGGGGCATTGATTTGTATGAATGCAAATCAACAAATTAGCTGTTTTTGATGAATTTTGCAGACGTGACGGGATTGTAATGGAGAGTAAATGGAAGCTTCCCTCCAATTTTGGTGTCTCTAGGTGCTTGGGGAGGGGCATTTTATAGCCCAACAAATCAACAAAGCACAAATCGCTAAAAATCCATTGATTTGTATTCCTCAGGGGCATTGATTTGTATGAATACAAATCAACAAATTAGCTGTTTTTGATTAATTTTGCAATTCTTTTTTCAATTCATGCCCATCTCTATTCTGTATGTCTCCAAATCATTGTCAGAAACTTTAGCTGGGAGGCAAGATTGCTTCTATCCTTACGAACACAAACAGCTTTTTGCACTTGCAATGAAGAGAGGAAGTGCTTTTCCTGCCCTGCTCAGTTCATTTCTGACTAATGTAATAAATACTCATTAATATCATTAGTGTCTTGTTCTCTCCACTGGGCTCTTTACGCATTGGTTAGCTTTCCTCTTATTATTTACTTCTTTCTTTGTTTCACCTGCATGCAAAGTTTGTTTAAAACAGATTTTTTGAACCCTTGTACATCAGCAGTGCAGTAAATAAGCTTCAGGAAATACTGTGTCAACAGGAAAAAATTGACTGTGGGCTCTGTATAAGTTCCGTATTTGGATTTATGAAGGTACAATTTATTTCAGTTTTAGTGCATCACGTTTCTAAGGTTTGAAACAAATATTAATGCGACAGAATACAGCAGAATAAAATATCCACTTCAAAATGTTAAGTAGATTAGATTAACCACTTCTTAATATGTGCAAGTCATACACTGAAGAAAAGATTTTCTGTGGAGGTCCCTAGAGCTTCCTATAGCCTGTGAAACTGTGATCTTAGTGTCAAGGCCAATGGGACCTTGTTACTCAATACTTGAGTGGCTGTATCCTTTATCTAGCCTGTGAAACTGTGATCTTAGTGTCAACTTGAGTGGCTGTATCCTTTATAGCTCTGTAGTTCATGAGCATCATCTTCCAACTGTGTAGTGTAGCAAGGTGTTTTACAGATAGCTTACAGATTCACTAGCTTTTCCTATTAAAGAGCAATGACATGAATTGGGAAGAGAAATAGAGGTAACTTCAAACCACCCTAAACATTAGAGGGTATGAGCAGAGCTAAAGGAGGCAGGCAGCAGATGACCATTTCAGCTGAGTCAGCTAAGGCTTTGTCTAACTCTGTCCAAAGAGCTATGCGGAACCTCTTGTGATATTCCACAAACTCTTGTCGAGTGCCATGTTTTATAACACTGTAGGGGTGAGAATGGGATAAACGTCTCACTAGACTTACCCCTTGGCACAAAAAGTCTTAGAGACTGTCTCCTCATACAGATTGGAGGCTTTGGTCCTCTTTCCCAAAGATTCTTTTGAGGCCTTTGTAGAAAAGGTTATTTTGTGGTCTCACCACTCAAATAATAGAATAAGGGGGTAATTAAATTGATTGGAACAGATTGGACGAAGCAGGATCACTTTGAAGTATAGTATGGGATGTCGTTTAGGGAAATCTTTACATACACATGCAAGGCGATTTCAGGTCAGGAAAACACACCACACTTCAAGTGACCCTATTTAGCCACTTCCATTAAAAAGAGAGAGAAAGAAATCTCCCTCCTTGTCTCCCCATCTGTTTGGGATCAGGAGAAAAACTGCATTTAAAAAAATACTATTTCTGTGTGGCATAGTGCTGAATTGGCTTTCTGATCAACCAATTCAATGCTGGGTACAAGAGATTTTTCTAAAAAAAATCCTTCAGATCCTCTTCTGTTTCCCCCTCTGTAGGGGAGTGGGAGGAAGCTTTACATTTCCTAATAACTAGTTAGATAGTGAAGCACCTTGAACAGAGTGACAGCTGCCCTTTCACATTGATTGGATCCCGGCAATCATATATGGCAGAACCAAATCAAAATGGAGCAATCCTACCTGCACTGAAAAAATAAACTCAGTAAAAAGCTCTTGGTAGGCAGGGTGAGGGTTAGGATTGATTCACAATTTACATGGTGTAGTCAGTCACTAGAAAATGGAGGGAACCAGCCCATCCCCAAAATAGACCAAACTGCGAAACAGAGCCCCTTTTGATTGCACCCTAAGATGATTAATTTATACTTCCATAGACCTTCCCCTTTCCTGTGCTTCCTTATAGGTGCCCTGGGTGAGAATAATTTTTCTAGTGTTCCTCTTGATTTGACATCAAGGCTCATTCCTCTACTGTGTCATCAACAGGTACATGTACTGGACTGACTGGAGTTCCAGTGCTAAGATAGAACGTGCAACACTTGGAGGAAACTTCAGGACTGCCATTATAAGCACCAACTTAGTATGGCCAAATGGGCTTACTTTGGACTATGAGGAACAGCAGCTTTATTGGGCGGATGCCAATTTGTACGTATTTGTGTTTCTTTTACTTGGAGCCAGAGGAGCATATTCTACTGCATGCATTCCTCACCTTTTCAGCCAGACAGCTGCATGTGGTCTTTGCTTAATTAACTGTATGCGGTGGTAGTAGTGATGGTAGTGGTAGTAAGAAATTCTGTAATGTAGAAACTACATTCTGTTCAAAGGCTCATAAAGGAAGAATTTTGAGAATGAAATTGCAACAGGCGACGAGAGTCTTGAGAACAGAAATGTGAGGGGAGGGCCTTGAAATAATCAGCATAATTCCTTAATCTTTAAAATTTAGACTTCAGTTATGTTCTCACTTACCTGGAAGTCAATGCCACTGTGTCAGTAGGACATCTAAGGAATCATGCATAGGATTGCCTTGTTAACAGTTCAAGAAATGTGTCAGTAGCTTCGGTGCATCCACAGGGGCTTTAAAATCTATGGATTGTTGGAATAGTTGGTGTCCAAATGCTAACATTTCTTCCTTGTTTTAGACAGAAGATTGAGCGCAGCTCCCTTACAGGTGCAAATCGTGAGGTTATTATTAGCACTGCCCTTTACCCATTTGCGTTGACCCTGTTTGATCAGCACATTTACTGGACAGACTGGAATACTCGAAGTGTTTATCGAGCCAACAAATATGATGGGTCAGATCAGATCGTTATGATTTCAAACCTGCCATACAGACCAATGGATATTCACGTTTGGGCCAAAAGCAAGCAGCGCCAGTGCAGCAATCCTTGCAACCAATTTAATGGTGGCTGTAGTCACATCTGTGTACCAGGTAAAATATCTAATCGTGGTAATAATTAGGGGGAGTATTTCTGTGACATTTCACATTTTCTCTGCAACCTACATTTGAACCCATAAGCAACTTCAAACATGTTTATGAGTAATCTAGCCTTTCTCGCCAGATTACTCATAAACATGTTCAAACCTACCCATAAGCTGAGACATAGGTTGCAGGGAAAAATGCAACATCATAAAAACCCTCCCCTTAGTTATAATGAAAATGTGCATTCTGACAGAGGATGCTGAATTTGAAAACAATATTTGCTTAGTTGCAATATTTTGTCAACCTGGGACTCTCCAGCATCCATGGGATGTTGTAGAACTAATCAAACCAACTCTAGTATTTTCCATCCAGGTGAATACAAGCTCTGCCCTTTCCAAGGTGTGACTTGGGCCTTAGGCACCCACTGTGGAGATACTAGAATGTAGGTCCCCAGGGGAGCCATTGTCCACTGCCCAGAATGTGGTTTCATGCATATACATGTTAATGGGATAGTTCATGCTTCACACCTAAAGGAGTTAAAAATGCTGAAACTGTAAATACTGTAGTTGTCTGTGAAATATGACATTATTCACAAGTATTTCATGAAACTTTTGCTCACAAGGAGTTAAAAATGCTGAAACTGTAAATAGTTGTCTGTGAAATATTGTCAACATTCTTTTCTTTGACATTATTCGCAAGTATTTCCTGAAACATTTGCTCTGTAACGTTCTCTCAGATAAAAGGTTGCATTTGGTGGGTTATCTTTAAGCTTAAGGAATTTGGGAATTCTTTTCAAAATTGCCATGTTGTGTGGTGGGTTATCTTTAAGCTTAAGGAATTTCTTTTCAAAATTGCCATTTTGTATATATCTGTTTAATTCTTGTAAAGCCAAATGGAGAAGAATTGGTTTAGCAGGAAGTAAATTTGCAAACCTCTCTTGGCATACCTGCCCCATTTCACAGCAAGAGATGTACTGTATGACTGTGACATTTTGGAATTCTGAAATTCTCAACAGTATATGCTGAAAATGCTGAAAAAATTCCTCATTCTGGAGGAACTTTGTATGCACTGTAGACTGAGTACATGTAAAAAGGCTATTCCATAAAATAATAATGGAATAGAACCTGTATCAGACTTCTCTTCATGAAAGTGCAGAATGCAGTTTATGTGCATTATCTCCCCTGAAAACACCCAAAGGGAGGGGAGACCTGCTCCAGAGGTGAAAAATCCTTCTAAAGTGTCAGATAGCCAGAGAAGCTGAAGAGGGGAAAGGCACAAACTCGTAATACTTGCAGATGTGTCAGGTTGGATTTAGATTTGGTCTTATTTTTTAAGTAAACTTCAGTTGAAGCTTAAAATTAGCATTTGTGGAAATGTTCTCTGTGGCCTTAGTGGCATAATAATGTTTTATTTCTGCATGTTGTCATTAAATGTAGGCCCGGCTGGTGCAGAGTGTCAGTGCCCTTCTGAAGGCCGCTGGTATTTAGCCAATAACAACAAGCATTGTGTTGTGGATAATGGCACCAGGTGTGGAGGAGGACTCTTCACCTGTCTTAATGGTCGGTGCATCTCTGAGCGCTGGAAATGTGACAACGACAATGACTGTGGAGATGGCAGTGACGAACTGGAAAGTGTGTGCGGTAAGCACGTCTGCTGTTGAACTGGAATCCCTTGCCCAGTTCCTGTCGAACTTGGATGGGGGAAGAGGTAGCCAACAGGGGGTTGGTCAGAGGCCTTCTGTATAAGACCTGAGTTAATTTAAAATACAATTCCACAGATTTATTAGTGTGTGAGATAGTTTTTAATCCTTGGTAAGAATGATAGCACATACCTGTGCCAGTGTCGTTCCAGTGACATAAATTTCAGGAGCAAATGGCTGGAAGTTAAGAAATATTTGTTGTTGTTGTGCACCAAGTTTGTTTGTTGATTGCTGTGTGACAAGAAAACAAGTGCCAGCTTCGTGACTAGTTGCCATTTGCTGTTGGAAGTTATATTAGTCGTGTTACGCCTACATGTGTACATAAGAAGATTCTGACCTCATGATCCTAAAATTGGACAGTATGAGAGTGGGTTAAAATTCAGCATTCTGATTTGTGGAAGTTCTGGGTCATATTCACCAACTTTCTGTATTTTAAAACTCAAAAACAGCATGGATGGGTATCATGGGGAGAACTTTTGAGTGGTACAGTCTTCTTTAGATAATTATTTGTAATGCTGTTTCATTCTTTTTTTTTTAAATAGCAGCATTAAGAATGTGTCCTGTCCCCCCCTCCCTCAGTCCGATGGAGTAGAAGGGAAATGCATGCGGAGTAGCATTGTTCAAATGTGGAAGGGAGGGAGGGAGGGACCCTTTCTGCTCACATTCAGTTAGAGAATTTACGCATGCCCAGACCCTATAAATTGAGATGGCTGTCAATTTTGACTTTTGAATGACGATGCTGATTTTTAATTTGATGGCAGCTTCTGAGATATAAGACCTCACTCTACTCCCCTTGATTTCAACTTTTCTCTCATTTGTTACATTTTCATACAAGACAAAAAGGAAACTGTAAGGATCTGTAGTCTCTAGAAATATTCAGTGGTGCAGAAACAAAAATAAAATGTTGCCTTCCGTTTGACTGACTCTAGACATGTATTTTATTTTACATGCAGTCCGTTTTGCGGCCGTGTTTGCCTTGGCAGGTAAAACAAACCAAGTACTGTGTTATTTCTTAGCCGTGTTTGCCAAAGCCTTGAGCTTGTCTTCTGTCAGTGACATTTCTTTGTCACTTTTATCTCCTTCAGCTTTTCATACCTGTCAGCCAACAGCTTTCACCTGTGACAATGGGCGGTGTGTACCCTACGCTTATCGCTGTGATCACTACAATGACTGTGGAGACAACAGTGATGAGGTGGGCTGCTTGTTCCGAACTTGTGACTCCCACACAGAATTTACTTGCAATAATGGAAGGTGTATATCTCTTGAATACGTCTGCAATGGTGTAAACAACTGTTATGATAATGGCACTTCAGATGAGAGAAATTGCCGTAAGTTGATTAAAAACTATGTATTGTCCTTTAGGATCTGATTCTTTAGGCTACAGAAGAGGAAACTTGTTTTGCTTATAAAGAATCAGTGGAAGGGAGGAGTCAAAGGGAAGAAATTATAAAAGACTCTGAGATATGTTTTTGATGCAACACATCCAACTTAGAGGAAGCTCAAAAAATTGTTTGGATGTTACCTGATCCTCTTTTAGCTATTGAGGAGTGTTCTGTTCCATTTACACCAAAAGTTAAGGGAGTTATCCTTCAGATTTTGAGGACAGAATAATACAGCATACCTTTAGTGTGTATTTCTTAGCCACTTCAGGATTCTTTTCTTTGCTTTGGCTTTATTCTGGCTCCTGATGAAATAATGGTCGTCACTATTGCCATGTTGATTGCCCTGATACCATCTTTGCTGCTATTATACTGTTCAGATTCAGCTGGGAGAGAGACAGGACGAAACACAATGTTGTGTGGCAATGTTTATTTATTGGGAACCAGCAGAGAGGGTTCTGTCAGTAGATCCCTCTTCTAAACACATTTTCCAGCCATAATTCTGCTGCATAGAAGTGAGCACAGGGGAGCGATTGTAATCTCGTTGGCTAACAATGGAACAGTGGAATAAAATGTGGTGATTGGAATTCATCGATTTGTGATCGATCTGGCCCTTTTCATGGGTCGAAAGGGACCCCCCCCCTGCAAGCAGTTCTGTATAATGTGTCCTCCAATATTGCACGCATTTACTGGGGAGTAAATATTTGTGTCGAGTGGGACTTCCTCCCATTAGCATGTATGGGATTCTAGTCCAAATCTGAACTGTACAACTTGTAAGACACCAAACCAAGCACACAGAGCCCACAATTCCTGAATGCAGGGATTCATCGGATTCTTTTTGTTGCGGCTTGCCTCTAATTGCCAAAGGAGGAGACTGTCCATCGTACATTGGCAAAAGGCTATGTGTGGGTTTGTTGGGTCACAGGTTCTGCCAGGTTTGTGCTGAATTCTGAAGTAATCCTGTTCTGTGATGTTTGATCATCACGGAGCTGGTTTCCAGTTATAACGTGATGGTTTCCTCACATTTCTGCAGAGCAGCTGAGTTATGCCTGATGAAGAAACCATGTTGCATCAGGAGGCATTTGCTCCTAAGTAGGGAATAGGATGAACATTGGACAAACTTTGTGTTCCCTGCCATTTTCCAAAACCCTGCCCCCATGACAAGACTCCCTGAGGCAAATTCCACTTGCCCTAGCAACATTTCCCAGGTTCCTGTGAGAACAGGAGCTCATTTAAAAACATTTTCCCACCTATCATTCTGCATAGGGAAGCGCCAAATTCGATGAAGGTTAATGCCCCTTCCAGTGAATCCTGCACAGGACAGGTGCCATTTTGCTCAGGAATTGTATTCATCCTTTGCAGCTTAGTGTGTCGTCTGTTCTTTCTGAGTGAATCCTGTGCAGGAAAGTTTTAGAATAGGTAGCTGTGTTAATCTGTGCTAGCATATTAAGCAAAAAATAAAAAAAAAGAAAGAAGCCCAAAACATTGTGGCACCTGAAAGACTAACTGCTTTATTTTAATGTGTGCTTTCATGGACAAGTCCACTTACTTCTACTCTTACGTCTGAGGAAGTGGACTTGTCCACAAAAGCTCACATTGAAATATAGCAGTTAGTCTTTAAGGTACCACAATGTTTTGGGTTTTGTTAGTTTCCTTTTATTTTGGCCTGATCAGCTGTGCAGGAAAGTTGGTAGTTGGAATGCAGAAATTGCAATAATTCTGCATAGCTTGGTGCTTCCTCCAGAAAAAAAAATTACCATGAAATTTCTGAGAAATCCCATGATATTTTGTGCAATTTTAGGGGGTGGGGTGGCAGTGGGCTTAAAACCTTGTACAGAGAAATCTGAGGGGAAAAGAGAGGTTTCTTTGCTTCATTTGCAGAGAGTGAGAGGTTGCAGAACTCCTGTCCCTCTATCTTGTGCAGTGGATTTATAACCTGGGGTCCCAGGTATTCTTGGATTGCAGTCCTAAGCCCTGAGCACTGCCTTTGCTAGAAAGAGCTTCTGGGAATTGTAGTCTCAAGAACGTTTGTACCCTAAGTTTGGGAATCATTGCTGCTGGGGAAATGAAAAGTCTGTAGGGAGGAAAGGTCAGCGTTTAAACAAAAGGGGGAAAGACTTGGGCATCGACTATCCATGTTACAATTTTAAATGCACAGAAATATCTTACAAGTTGGGGGGTGGGAAATCATAATTACAAAATGCCTCTTTTCTGATTATATTTGTAAAGCATTTCTAAGTGACACTTCTATTAAAAACACAAGAAATGGACAAGTCTCTTGCTGCCATCAGTGTGTTTTAGTGCAGCATGGGGTGGAATCCAGTTCGTTTGGTCTGTTAGTGGAATACTAGTTCTGGCTTCCCGTCAAAATTTGTTGCAGAAGTTTAGAGGAATTTCTACAGCTCATTTCATGGAATCATAAGGGACAAGAGGGGATGAGTAAGGAGAAGATGTATAGGCAGAAATCCAGTCATGTAGTATAGGATTCTGTCCTCCATGATTTGGTTTCTCTCCTGCTTATGTAGGGCACAGAGCTTGTCTTATATATAAAACCGTACCGTGTGGTTTCCAAGGTTTGATTTTTAAAAAAAAAAAGTTTAAAGGGGTAATTTTCTTAAATTACTGCAGAAAACAAAAGAGGAAAAGGCTGTTATAATAGTTAAATCACTTTTTATCTGATGTAAATAATGAGTCTATATCAGTGGATCAAACAGTTACCTGTCCTGCTTCGGTATGTGAATATATTGAGAAATAGTGATTGGACAGCAGGTAGATTAATTATTATCCTCAGAATGAATACTTTAGTTATCTCATTCTTATGGAAGGGCATATTATGCTGATCAGTGGTAGATTGCATGACATGTAACACTACTTCTGAAACTCGATCCCTGAATAATTCTTCCTCTGAGAAATAAGGTTGTTTGTCAATACCTTTGTGAAAATCCCTACAGTTTGTTACAGTGTAAGAAAAAGAGCAAGAGAGAAAAATCTAAACCCTTCCATCTTCCTATTTTCTTTTCCCTTAAAGCTGAACGTACTTGTCAATCTGGTTACACAAAATGTCAAAGCACAAACATATGCATTCCTCGGACTTATCTTTGTGATGGGGATAATGACTGTGGTGACATGAGTGATGAGAGCCCTACTCACTGTGGTAAGCTTAATGGGTCTCCCACGATTACCCTCCTCCGCTTCGTGTTCCTACCTTTCAGTTTTGGTAAAAAGCCAAGCATTCTTGTAGCTTCTCTTCTTTGTTTCTCCCTTTTAGCATTGTATTGCAAAAGGTACATGTTTTATGTGTGCGAAGGAGAGAAAGAGGGTGGGAAAAGGGAGAGGGTTGGACATGCTCTGGTGAACTTCTAGAACTTGAATACATAAATTCTTTAAATGAGAATCATGAATAAATTCTTTTGAGCCTTGCTTTCCCCAGCCCTAGTTCAACACTGTAACCACTGTACCACACTGGATCTTTGTTGAGGAGATCTTTGTTGCTATTGTTACTATAATTTGGAATTTACTTAATGGGACTCTAACTCCAGAAGTCACAAGGGCAGGGCCTCAAATCAAGCACCTTTACTGGGCTTGCTAATCTAGAACAGGTGGAACATTCTAAGTGAGAATTATCTTAGACTGCATCTGATCCTTTTGAAAGTTTTGTGCAAAGTCGGAATGGTAGTATAGTTAGGTCAGTGGGCTATTGGCCGTTGTTAATGCCTTGGCAAGTGCTCAACCTTGCACCTCTCTGAAGCTAATGCTGTATAATTCTCATCCAGAGAGCTATTGTCATAGAAAACTGTTGAACTGCAGTGGTTTAGAGCAGTGGTCCCCAACCTTGGACCTCCAGATGTTCTTGGACTTCAATTCCCAGAAATCTTGGTCAGCAGAGGTAGCTTGAAGGCTTCTGGGAGGTGTAGTCCAAGAACATCTGGAGGCCCAAGGTTGGGGACCACTGGTTTAGAGAATGAACTGTGAGTCATAATTCCCAGAAATCTTGGTCAGCAGAGGTAGCTTGAAGGCTTCTGGGAGGTGTAGTCCAAGAACATCTGGAGGTCCAAGGTTGGGGACCACTGGTTTAGAGAATGAACTGTGAGTCACGGTCAAATCTCTCTGTACGTATTACAACTTTACTAGCCACTCTCTACCAATCGTATATCCACCTATTTATTACCAATCCTCAGTATGCACAACTTGTGGCTCTCCATATGTTGCTAGCAGCCCTAATCAGCATAGCCTGCGATGAGGAATACCTCAAGTTGCATCTCAAGAACATTTGGAGGACTATGACTTGTCCACCGTGCACAATATACAAAGTCAATAATAATGGCCTACTTCTGAAAACTCTTATAAAAGTTGCTAGGTAATATATCTGAACATTGAAGAATGCAGTTTTCTCTGCTGAGATTTAATCATTGCCATGGTGGAATGAAATGCAACTTCCAACATCTATAAGCAAAACCTATTATTCATTTTCACCCTTGCAGTCTCACTGACCTGCTCCAGCAGTGAGTTTCGTTGCTCATCAGGGCGTTGCATTCCTGCCCACTGGTATTGCGATCAAGCTACAGACTGCGCCGACGGCTCCGACGAGCCCTCCTCTTGTGGTAAGTGTGAGCTTCAAAACACAGGAATTTGTGAAGGCGATGCTTTAGCTGGGATTTTCTGCTGTTGAAAGAATAACGTGCATTACTTCTTTGCCTTACCCTAAGTGTGAGCTTCAAAACACAGGAATTTGCAAAGGCGATGCTTTAGCTGAGATTTTCTGCCCTGGCACGCGAGTTGAACTAGGTGGTCCGTGGCATCCTTTGCAACTCTGCAGTTCTGTGATTTTGTAGCCAGAATTCTATTGCCAACATATGCTTGTGTAAAGGAATTAAGGCAAGTTCTAGGTAACAGATTGCTGCTAACAAGATGAAAATTGCATTCCTAAGCATGTGCCCCATCACATGATTGGCACATACCCAAGAATACAACCAGCTTTAACGAAGGGTGATTTGCTGCCAAGACTTACATGATATCCCCTAAACAAATGTAGTTTGGCATGTTTATGAGTCAACCAGATGCAGAGTCTGATTTTAGGAAGAGAATGGGGTATGAGTTTTTTATGAGCTGAAATGTTTGGCACCCTTTTCTCTGAAAAACTAACGTATTTTAGAAACCTGGGGTGACATAACAGAATACGTATAGCTGTTGAAAGCATAATGTGCATTACTTCTTTGCCTTACCTGTTAGTAATCTTATGGATGAAAGCATACATTGTGGAAAGTGGTCTTTTTTGGTACTGACATAAACATGCTTAATATTATCCTGGTTGCTAAGGAGGAGGCTTTTATTGTGTAGGTGGTATCATTTATTGATGTGCTAAATCAATGTTTGCTCTTATTCTTTTAATAATTAAGTTTTAATATGGTGACTTTGTTCTGCTCTTACTGTACTTTTAAAAGCTAATCTTCTAAATTACCTTGAGTTCAATTTTTGAAAGAAAAGCAGCGCATATAAAAATATGTAAGAAAATAAAACCAAAAGGCATATTGCAGAGCATACAAACCAGGCTATCCATTCATTCTCTTCTAAGTTGTCCCCACCCGGAGTTGTTCAGGTGACCAGTTCAGGTGTGATGATGGCAGATGTATACCAGCTACATGGATCTGTGATGGTGATAACGACTGTGGTGATATGAGTGACGAGGACCAAAGACACAACTGTGGTAAGCATCTGCTAGATGCAAAGCTTAGCTGTTATGGCAGCCTTTTTTCTATTCTTTTATTTACTTTTGTTTTGTTATTTTATCCTTAGACCGCTTTTCCCACAGTCCCTTTGTGGGATATAAATTTTTCAAAAAATTCCCAATGGCTAAGAAGGGATTGAGAGGAGAGGTTTGAGATGTATTTAAACGACTTGACTACAAAATGTATTTTAACGGGTTGCTGGAAATGTGTGTTTTATTGTAGCAAATCGCAGCTGCTCAGCCTCCGAGTTCACTTGTGTGAATAATGCACCCCCGCTAAGAAGGTGTATCCCTAGGGCCTGGGTCTGTGATGGGGATGCCGACTGCAGTGATGCTTACGATGAGCATCAGAACTGCACAAGAAGGCCATGCATGGATAATGAGTTCACCTGTAGCAATGGACTGTGCATCCGGAACACATACAGGTTTGTTAGAACTGTGTGTGGGGAAGTGTCTTTGAATAAGTTCATGCAGGTGGAGCAGGGAAGGGTAACCCCTTTGGGCCCGAGAGCTCCTGCAGGGCCAGCTGGCAGGCCAAGGCCTACTTGTGGATAAGTACATCCATATACATAAGACACAGGCATACTCTCACGCATACATATTTATATACTCAGATGCAAAGAGAGAGAGACAAGAAAAGATGTGCGCCTGCGCACTTATTATTATTGTTATTATTATTGTTATTATTATTGTTGTCGTTGTCGTTGTCGTTGTCGTTGTCGTTGTCGTTGTTATTGTTATTGTTATTGTTATTGTTATTGTTATTAATTGGATTTATACCCCGCACCATCTGGCAACCAGGCCACTCTGGGCGGCTAACAACAAGATAAACAACGCAGTATCAAAACACGATAAAAAGAAAATGAAACATACATTCAAACAAGATTTATTTATTTATTTATTTATTTATTTATTTATTTAAATTTATATCCCGCACCACGTGGCAGCCAGGCCTCTCTGGGCAGCTAACAACAATATAGGGAGGGAAAAATTTAAAAGATTATAAAAATAAGTTAATACATAGCAAATCCGAAATTAAAACCTCTGGCTGTAAGCGAGGGTGCCAGACGAATCTCAGTCGGCCGGTTGTTCCATAGGTGGGAGTCAACTACCAAGAAGGCCTGGTTTCTAGTTCTTTCCCTCCGTGCCTCCTTCAGGGTCAAGGCCCTCAACCGCTCTGCCTGTGAGGAACGGGTATTACGGACAGATCTGGCTGGGAGCAGGTGTTCTGATAGGTACCAAGGTCCTAAACCATTTAGGGGTTTGAATGTTATCATAACCTTGAAGTCGATGCGGAAATGAACCGATAGCCAATGAAGGACGGCCAGAGTGGGGGAGAAATGCTGGAATTTCTTCACCCCAGTTATTGATCTGGCCACTGAATTCTGGACCAGTTGATGTCTCTGCATCAACCTCAAGGGAAGCCCCACATAGAGAGCACTGCAGTAGTCTATTCTTGAGATTACAAGTGCATGAATAAGTGTTGTGACCACCCTAATGTCTAGATAGGGATGCAACTGGGCAATCCTCCAAATATGGAAATAGGCTGCCCGGACCACAGATGCCACCTGGGTTTCCATGGTGAGACCCGGGTCCAGGCAGATGCCCAAGCTGCGAACCTCACTCTTGCCCAGTGATGGCTGGAATGGCATTGAGGCCTCTGGGCACTCCTGGCCCAAGGTGAGGCTCCACCCGGGCTCCTTCCAAGTAGGAGGCCTCAAAGGGATAGTTCCCTGGTCTGCAGTCGGGCACTCCATTTCTTCCCTCGGAGCTCTTGGTGGACATATGATTGGCCCTGGCCTGCTGGCCTCCAGGATCATGGAGCTCTTAGAACGGTGTGGTCTGATCCATTGTTGTAACTAGGCCCATGAGATGCAGCCAGTGTTGGAGACACCGAAACCTCAGGTTCAGGGACCGTTGCTGAATTCGTCTCAAACAAGACAGACTCGCTTAAACTAGAGAGGTCTAACACAGGATATCATGTTTCAGCCATGTGTGTTCTGTGCTGTCAAGTTGAAATCGACTTAGAGCCACCCTAATAGGGCCTCCGAGGGAAGTGAGATCTTTAAGGAGTGGTTTTGCCAGAGTCTTCGGACTGCCTGGTACTGTCCTGCCTGGACTGTATTTTCCCTGCCTTCCCTGAACCTTTCTTGACCTAAGAAAAAAAGAAACAAAATATCCCCATCTAGTGGTCGAAGGCAGAATAGCAGCTTCCCATTAGTTTCTATGGATGGAAAAGAGCCGATACGGATCAAATGGTTTTCAATGCATTCCTATGGGAAATGCAGATTTGACCTGAGAACTTTTTGACTTGAGAACCGCCTTCCAATACGGATTAAGTTCTCAAGTCAAGACCCCACTGTATCATGTTTCAGCCATGTGTGTTCTGTGCTGTCAAGTTGAAATCGACTTAGAGCCACCCTAATAGGGCCTCCGAGGGAAGTGAGATCTTTAAGGAGTGGTTTTGCCAGCTCCACTGCTCCAGTGAGTTTCCATGGCTGAGTGGGGATTTGAACCCTGCTCTCCAGAGGCCTAGTCCATCACTGTTGTCTACTACGCCACTCTGGGAATCCTGTGGTTTCAACTGTAGTGTCCTTTGGTTAAGGTTGTCTGCAGTCAAAACAGCCGCAGTCAGCTTCCTTCCACAGACCAATGCAGGACTGCTGGTGTGATATACTTCTTGTGGTCTACATGGAGAAAAAACTGTTCTGTCCTCAGGGGCAAGGTCATTTCAGTGTTGTGAGGGGTGAACATAGGGAGACATATGCCACAAACAAGAGTTTACAAAGTAGCCGCCTATACGGAGGTAGACGAAGTTGATGGAAGGTTTTCTGTGGCTTGGAAATTAGCAGAAGCCTTTGGAGTGACGGTTGTTTCTTTTGCTGCTTGCTGTGCTGAACTGCTCCATCCAGCCTCACCAAAGTCTGTTTCTAGTACTGTACTTGCTTGGCTGGAATTCTCACATACTTCAGTTTTGTACCTAGGAATCCTGGGACCAAACTAGTAAGGTTGTCTGCAGTCAAAACAGCCGCAGTCAGCTTCCTTCCACAGACTAATGCAGGACTGCTGATGTGATATACTTCTTGTGGTCTGCATGGAGAAAAAACTGTTTTGTCCTCAGGGGCAAGGTCGTTTCAGTGTTGTGAGGAGTGAACATAGGGAGACATATGCCACAAACAAGAGTTTACAAAGTAGCCACCTATACAGAGGTAGACGAAGTTGATGGAAGGTTTTCTGTGGCTTGAAAATTAGCAAAAACCTTTGGAGAGACGGCTGTTCCTTTTGCTGCTTGCTGTGCTGAACTGCTCCATCCAGCCTTGCCGAAGTCTGTTTCTAGTACTTGCTTGGCTGGAATTCTCACGTACTTCAGTTTTGTACCTTGGAATCCTGGGACAAAACTATTGTCTGTTTCTTGTCCAGCATTTTCAGTTAACACTGTCAAATACTACCAGTGCTAAAAACTTCTGTGTTTTTTTATGGAATTCTCTTTAGCAGAGAGCTACTCCACTGGAGCAGATTTTTCCAGGGTATTTTGATTTTCTTTAGAACAAGGACTGATCCTGGTTGTAAAGATTTCTCAGGTCAAACAGTAGCACAGTAAGTAGGCAGACATCTTCAGTGGCGGAAGAAACTGGGATCTCCATTGCTAACAACTTGCATGTTTCTGATAAACATAATTGCGTATAGGTTTGTGCTGCCTGACATCGTTATCTCTTCCGTAGTGCTCCAAAAATCTATTTCTTTTCCAGGTGTGACAGACGTAATGACTGTGGTGACAGTAGTGATGAGAGGGGTTGCGTCTATCAGCCGTGCCCACAGCACCAGTTCACCTGTCAAAATGGCCGCTGCATCTCCAAGGCCTATGTCTGCGATGGGGACAATGACTGTGGTGATGAATCAGATGAGCTCGAACACCTCTGTGTCACACCAGAAGCAACCTGTTCTCCACATTATTTTAAATGTGATAATGGGAACTGTATTGAAATCGTCAAAGTCTGTAACCGGATGGATGATTGCCTTGATAATAGTGATGAAAAAGGATGTGGTATGCATAGAACTTTTCAAACTAAAATCAATGTCGTATGTAAATATTTGGGTTTAGCTTAAGGTATGGGCTGGTTTATTATCCCACAGCCTTTTCCAGTCCAATATATTGGGTTATAATTCTCATCACCCTTCAGCCAGTCAAGCCTGTGGCCAACGTTGTCAAGAGGTGTAGTCCACCAACCTTAGACTGAACAAGGCTGATTGGCTCACATTTACATGGAATATGTGAGACAAATATTGGCCATCTGGATAAGGGCCAGCCCTTTTATAGTTTCCATAGAATGAACAGAGAGAGATTATGACCATCAGTGACCGTAAATCTTAACGAAAGTTGAGTAATGTGTTCTTTTTTTTGTCCCATTTTCTTCTATTTATAGGCATTAATGAATGTAATGACACTTCAGTCAGCGGCTGTGACCACATCTGCACAGACACTCAGACTAGTTTCTACTGTTCGTGTCATCCTGGTCACAGGCTCATGTCCAATAAAAGGTCTTGTGATGACATAGATGAGTGCACTGAAACACCATCAGTGTGTAGCCAGATTTGTGAAAACACAGTTGGCTCCTATATCTGTAAGTGTGCACCAGGTTACATCCGTGAGCCAGATGGGAAAACTTGCCGGCAAAATAGCAACATATCTCCCTACCTTATATTTAGCAACCGCTACTATCTGAGAAATCTCACCACAGATGGCCAGTCATATTCTCTGATTTTGCAAGGACTTGGAAATGCAGTAGCACTGGACTTTGACAGGGTGGAAAAAAGGCTGTATTGGATTGATGTGAGCAGGCGGGTCATTGAAAGAATGTTTTTCAATGGGACAAACAAGGAAATAATAATAAACGATGGCGTGCCCAGTGGGGAAGGTATTGCTGTTGACTGGGTTGGCAGGTAAATTTCTTTATTTTTAAACAGTTATTATCACGGTCTTTGTGTTTTGATGTTATTACGGATCAGTGTTTTCCCCATATTCTTCAAATTATTAGTCAGCATCTCTGATAAGCAACTGTAAATAACAACTTGCACTAATCAGACCTTGTATGGAGAGATGCAACACAATATTCCTTACAGCAACACAGAGTTATCAGTATTGTTATTACAGGTTGCAGGCAGTGTCTAGGAGAATAGTGCATTGGCACTCTCTTTTTATAGATTAGTGTTTTCTGTAGATTGCACATAAGCAGCATAATGCCTTTATATGCAATATTTAGTGGTTTAAAATTGTTCCATCCACTCAAAAGTTGCCCTTGATATATGGATTTCCAAAAAGACTAATGTTCTTCAGATGCTGAGTGTTGATACCAGTTACATTTTTCTTTTTATATCATTGTACTTAGTGGCAAGCATTGGTTGTTGGTGTAGTTAAGAAAACATCCTTAAGATATGGTTAAACATATCATTCATCAGGGAATACAGAATACACTGTATTTGACATCAGTATCGTTAGTCAGAGCAGAAATTAATGAGTATTTGTTAGAAGTACTGCTGTGGTGTTACATGACTAGGGTGTTAAGACTATCAGGAGAGGCCTTTCTTTTGCAGACACTAGTTCTTGTGAGAACAAATTTGAGGTGGGCTTCTTAGTTTGTTTGCTTTACAAAATCTCAGTTCATCAACCAGAACCAGGTACAAACTACAGTGGTGCCCCGCATAGCGACGATAATCCGTCCAGCAAAAATTGCTGCAAAGCGATTTTGTCGCTATGTGAAATTAAAAAGCCCATAGGAATGCATTGAAACCCCTTCAATGCATTCCTGTGGGCTTAAAACTTACCTTTTAAGCGAAAATCCTCCATACGGCGGCCATTTTAGCTGCCCGGTAAGCGAGGCACCCGTCCCTGGTTTACCCGGTGGCCGTTTTGGAACCGCCGATCAGCTGGGGAAAAATCACTATGTGAAAATCGGGAAGCGAAACAGCTTGCCGATCATCGCAAAGCGGTTTTCCCCCATAGGAAACATCGTTATGCGATCGCAAAAACATCATTGCTATGCGGATTCGTTGTTAAATGGGGCGCCCGTTATGTGAGGCACCACTGTACATATGCTTAGAATTAAAGAACACGGTGTCTCTCAAGTACATCATGAGTCTAGAAATGAGTTTTATCTATCAAAACTGAACTAAGTCATAGTAGTCTGTTCCCACAGAAGTCAAACCTTAATTTATTGAAACCTCTCTTCATTTTGGTAGTCTCATTCTGCATGGGAAAGTTATGTTATTCTTCCTTTTATGAATCGACTAGGAAACAGAAACCCTTGTGGATCTATCACAGAGCACTCAAAGATCTATCACTAGTTCCTAACGTGACATCTGTCCATCTCTGCTCCAAGAGATTATAACACCCAGGCCACCCCACCCAGTTTTATTCATCTGCCCAGAGTTCTTTCAGTCATTACTGCCAAGAGAGAATACCCATGGATATACAACACAGAAGTACTGGGCATAACTCTCATCTTGTTCAACATTTCAGAAAACTGTATTGGGTAGATGCTTCCAAGGATTGCCTCTATGTTGCTGAGCTTGATGGCCGGTTCCGGAAAAAATTACTCGATCGGTGTGTGGATCCCAACAACACCTTCTGTTTCCAATATCCTAGAGCCATTGCTGTTCATCCCAAATATGGGTAAGCTATTTGAAGAGTTATTTTCTTTTGATGCAGCTATTTTATGGTATCTGTCTGCTTGTGGGTAATCACAGAATTTCAGTACCACGTAAATTACTCCTGCCCCTACTATTTATAATGGGGGCAGAGGCAATTGAGGATCTGCAGAAAGCTTAGGACAAGCAGCAATCCTAAATGCATTGCAACATACTTGCCTAGAAATCAACCCTCTCTGTTTCTTGGGGGAAATAAGGCTGAATATATCATTTAGCACTTGTGCTAGTGCAGATTAACATTGATCTAACGATGGACAAAGGAAGGAGAAGAAAAAAATTCCAGACTGACACACTGATAATAAGGTTTGAAGAAAAGAATAGGGAGATAACAGAGAAGCTTCTGATAGCTGACATGGCTGTGGAGATCTTGGAAAGGCTTCCTGGTATCACTTGTGGATGCTGCCTTTTTCACTTTGGTGTCAGGAGGAATTCCCTTGTTGGCCGAGAAGACTGGGGTCACCCAGATTGTCATTCTGCCTTTGCTCACGGAGGGGTTTTGCTGCTAATTTCTCTTTACGACAGCTGTCTGTTACACACACTGCAATCAATCAACAGTCCCAAAGACACCAGAGTAATTTTGAATTTTATCCTATACCATTACATCTAGTCAGTATTTCTAATATGTCTCTTTCAATAGGTATCTCACAATTGAGGAAATCAAAATAAGGTTTCACCTCCCACAGTGAACTGTATGCTATAATTTGTACCTTGAAAGCAACCATTGGGAAAAAAACACACACCAAACAAACAAACAAACAAAAAACACCTTGCTGCCTGGTCTGCATCAATGTAGCCTTTAAGGGTGGTACCAAAATATTTTTATGCCAAAACCTCAGCAGATACCTTGGAAATGTTATGTCTTCCTCAGTGAGTTATACAGATTAATAAGCCAAAGCTCAAATACGGCACTGGAATATAATGTTGTATAGTGACCTAGCACTAATTTTCTTGCAGAGAGGTTAATGTAATAGAGCCACCCCTTGGCTGTTTTCTTTTTCTTTCTTTCTTTCTTTCTTTCTTTCTTTCTTTCTTTCTTTCTTTCTTTCTTTCTTTCTTTCTTTCTTTCTTTCTTTCTTTCTTTCTTTCTTTCTTTCTTTCTCTTTCTTTCTTTCTTTCTTTCTTTCTTTCTTTCATTTCTGTGTATCCTCCTCAAGCTGGCTCACTCACTTCTGTGTTATGTAGACAAAGACTCTGGGTGAATTCATTCTGTCTTTTCAAAAAACAGGCAAGTCTACTGGACTGATTGGGGAGAGCGAGCCTATATTGGACGTGTGGGAATGGATGGCAAGAACAAGACGGTGATTATCTCTACCAAGTTAGAATGGCCTAATGGACTCACCATAGATTACACCAATGACAAGCTCTACTGGGCAGATGCCCATCTGAACTACATTGAGTACGTACATAGAGAAGAATAAAGCAACTGGGTAACTCTTCATACCAAATTTTGGGGGGTTACCAAACTAGTCTTTTTCAGATTCAAAACACAAGCCATCTGTTTTGCATCACAGATATAACTAGCAATATTTTTGTCACTGATATTTCTCATTAATGATGAGAAATCATTGGGGCAATACAGTTTTATTTAAGTTAAGATAATTAAAATTCTTTGCTTTTTTTAAGTACTTGCAATCCTGTTAGAATCTTTTAAACTATGATTTCTGCAAGTATACGTATCTTGAAATGTTGTGTCAAGTTAGTTTTTGCTTTAAATTTCTACCTAAATTTTAAATTCTGTAAACACTCACTGAAGAAAACAGTTGATAGATTCATTATGTTGATCACGTTATGTATTGTTTGAAATTCTGTTCTGTAAGTTACAATGTGTAAGGCAGGCGATGACGTCAGCCGTGGCAATTTTTGAGCAATAAAACAGTTCTGACCCCTGAAGGCCCCAGTGTTCCTGGGGAATCCTTTTCATCATCAGGAAGCCACTGGTGGCCAAAAGACTGACAAGGAGGAAGACCTTTAATTGCTGCCACAGGGGAAGATATCCCAGTGGCAGCAGTTTTTCTTTATTTATTTATTTTATTTATTTATTTATTGTATTTATATGCCGCCCATCTAGACATGGTCTACTCTGGGCGGCTCACAACTTAGAAACTTGCCCTTATCTCGTGCCCCCCCCCAAACAGCTTCCCAATGAAAAAAGGGATTCCACATGTACCTTGGGTCAGTTGGAAGTGGGTGGGCTTGGACTTGTTTTATTTTTAAAAAATGCTCATGACATAAGTTGCAGAACAGGATTTCAACCATGAAATGAAACATATGTAATGTCTATCAATAACAAAGGGGTTTTGATTAATTAAGAAGGAAAGTATAGAGAAGAAACAAAAAAGAGGGGAATTTGAGATACTGTATTTGAAATTTAGAAATAAAGATATTTATCAGTGTATACAATTGCGATTGTGAATACTCAGTGGGATGACAAGTTCTGACAATACTTGTCTCCAATGCTTCAGCTCAAATCCCCCCTCTGTTACAACTGGTTGTGTTATGTATTGAAAAAACAAAGCAGTGTGTGATACTGGAGACTGAAAACTTCACCCTTTATCTGGAAGTAATAAGACATAATTTGAATCATCTTCTTGTTCATCTTCTAGATGAATACTTTTACATTGTTTTACTTCTTCTGCCCCCACCCCATCCCATTCCAGAGTTAATTTCTTGCATATATTTCCAGGTTTTTGGGCTTTTTAAAAAACTTCCCTTCATTGTGCCCAGTAAATATAGGAGAATGACATGTCATGGTGTTGGCAGGAAGGAAGTCCAAAACTATGGCGTGGTAGATCAGTGGACACAGTATATGTAAAGGAAGTGCCCTTTTGATACCAGGAGGATATAAAAGTCAAAAACAAGCACTTAAAGCCTTTTTCAGATACTGTATATTTTTCCAAGGGCAATAGCAGTTCTGAGGTTCCACCCTGCAGTCAAAGGCTTTTCCATGTTCCTGCAGCCTTTCATTGCATAATGAAATTACAGTGGTGCCTTGCATAACGAGCGCACCGTTTAACAATGAATCAGCGTAGCGATCTATTTTTTGCGATTGCTAATGCGATCGCATTGCGATGTTTAGATAGGGAAAACATCGCATTGCGATGATCGGTAAGCATTTCGCTTACCGATCTTCGCATTGCAATGTTTTTAGAACAGCTGATCGGCGGTTCCAAAATGGCCGCCGGGTAACCAAAATGGCCGCCACAAGCATTTTCGCGCGCTGCCCTCCCTTACCAAGGCGGCGAAAATGGTGGCGCTATGGAGGATCTTCACTCAACTGTGAGTTTTCGCCCCATAGGAACACATTAAACGGAGTTTAATGCGTTCCTATGGGTTTTTCCTATCCGTATAGCGATGTTTCCGGATAGCAACAATTAATCCGGAATGGATTAACGTCACTATGCGGGGCACCACTGTAATTATAGTGAATTGCTTAGAAGAAATATTTGCTATTCCTATGGAGTTAGTGGTGGTGGTGATGAAAATGATAGTCATTAGCCCATTGAAATGCAGTTTTAATTTATTGAAGTAAATTATAAAGATGGCTGATTCTGTGCAGCTGTTCAGTTACTGAGAAATATTCATGATACCTTGAGGGTATTGTTTTTTTCTATTCTGATGGTGACATCAAAAGCTGATCTGGGTGGCATTTTCTAGGCATCTAGCTAGATGTTTAGTGCATTAATAGTGATGCTTGAGATTCTATTTTGGCCCCTTTGGGAAAACACCACAATAAAATTGTTTTTGGTGACTCTTATGTTCCATTCACTCTGAAGCAGTGGTGAATAGTTGAGGCGCTCTTGCAATTTCTGTCCCAGTTTTACCTCCCTTTTCTTTTTCCTTTCAGATACTCAGATTTGGATGGTCAGCAGCGTCACACTGTTTATGACGGGACATTACCTCACCCTTTTGCAATAACAATTTTTGAGGACACGGTCTACTGGACTGATTGGAATACCAGAACAGTTGAAAAGGGAAATAAATACAATGGATCAGGCAGGACAGTTCTGGTGAACACTACCCACAGACCCTTTGATATCCATGTCTATCACCCATACAGACAGCCAATTGGTGAGGAATTCATTCTCTCAACTGTCAATATCTGTTTCTTCCTGAAAGCCTATTCCTTTGAGTTCTGCCTGCAGTGCAAGCAGCTGCTGCGGGGAGGTGGACCTACTGCAGAGATCTGCTTGTCGTTTAAACATTTTGCTCCCATGGAGTGAGCTTTAGAAGCACTTCTGTTGATGTACGTATAATACCATTGTCAGAATCATCGCTGCCTATGCTCCATTGCATTTGTTCTAAATGGGTCATTGAATTAACTGGATCCAGCTGCTCCCTGTCTGTTTTGATCCCATTATATGAGCAAGCAAGAAAAGACGGCTGACAGGCTGCCTCCCTGTGGTTGCCTGTTCTTTGTATCTACATACTCTGCATTGTTAATTCGGGTTTTGACTGTTTAGTTAACCCTAGATTTGGACTATTGCTTGTTTCTTCTCAGGTTATGCTTTGAGCTAGCCTGCTTTTTTAAATACTAGGCGGCCTTGGTGTAGGAATATAAGAAGAGCCATGCTGGGTCAAATGGAAGATCTAGCTAGTCCAGCATTTTGTTCCTGCAGTAGCTAACCAAGCAGGATATGAAGCCCGCAAGCAGGATATGAATGCACCCCTTTTTCTTGTATTCTCCACTAACTGGTTAACAAAGGGCTGCCGCATCTGATACTTAACCACCATGACTCATAGTCATTGATAGCCTTATCCTCTGTTGGTCTGTCCAAATACTTTTGACAGCCCATCTCAGCTGATGGCTAGGATTACATTTAAGACTAGCATATTCCATACCTTTAACCATGCCTTATGTAAAGGAGTGCTGCTTATTATTAGTTCCGACTCTTGTGCCATTCAGCTTCATTTGCTCTTGGGTTCTTTTTGGCATTGTGAGAGGGAGAAAAAAGTTGGCCCTGTCCACATCCCCTAGCCACACCATAAATAATTTCATCCATCCCTAGCATGTGTCCCTTTACTCAGACTCAGTCCCAGTCCTACACCAAATCTGATGGGGTACCTGCCATATCTCGTGGCTTTTTACAAGTGGAAATAACGCATAGTCTGCCCTAAAATAACTTATCCAGAAGATCTGTTGACCCAGGATAGGAAACCTGGAAGGAAGCAGGATTTCTCTTCAATATGTTGCATGGATTACATGTTTCCATTAAACTTGTTCCTGTATATAAATCAATAGGAAACAAACTCAGCAGTTTGTGTGGGTGCAGGACAATGCTCTGGAACTAACCTGGAACCTAAGTTATAAGTTAAGAACACAGGAATTTGATTTGGGGTCAAACAAAAGACAGAAGTGGCCTTTCCCATTTTAGTAGCAATTTTATTCCTTTAATGGACATTTCTTTTCTGAGAAATAATTAGATGTCTCTCCATTTCTCTTTTGTTAGTGAGTAATCCTTGTGGGACCAACAATGGTGGCTGTTCCCATTTGTGTCTAATAAAAAGTGGTGGTTATGGCTATTCCTGTGCCTGCCCTGATAACTTTATGGTAATTCAGTTTGGTGACACAGCTCACTGCCTCCCTATGTGCTCCAGCACCCAGTTCCTGTGTGCAGACAGTGAAAGGTATGTCCATTTATTCAATACATTTCTCTCAACATAATTCCTGGTACCCATTTTCCCCTGCAATTTATTTATTTATTTATTTATTGGGCTTATATACCGCCCCATAGCGCTACAAGCACTCTCCGGGTGGTTTACAATTTTTAATTATACAGGCTACACGTTGCCCCCCCCCCAGCGAGCTGGGTACTCATTTTACCGACCTTGGAAGGATGGAAGGCTAAGTCAACCTTGAGCCGGCTACCTGGGATTTGAACCCCAGGTCGTGAGCACAGTTTTAGCTGCAGTACAGCGTTTTAACCACTGTGCCATGAGGCAATGATTCAATAGGGAAAGTCAGGCTGGAAGATTATGTCTAGTTCTGGCTAAAGATTACCTGTAAGCTTATTGGCTGAGTGGGGATTGGAAGTTGGTCCCCCCCCCGGTGCTTATCCAATACCCTACTCCACAAATGGGCATCTCTTTTGGTCCAGATTCAGTTTGCCTAGAAATTCTCAGGGGCTGCATTCCACTGATACGCAGGGCCAAATATGGAAAGGCTGGATGAAAAATACTAGTTTTACTGCCAGTAACTCAGCCTTAGGAAAGGAATTCCAACTGACACAGAAGTCGGGGAATCGCCAAACTATGAGATTATGGGGAAAGGCTGTAGTTGTCTGCTTTCCACAGCTGGAAATGAGCCAAACTGGGAGGCTAGATTTGGGTCCAGGCCCTGAGATTTCCTCGTCCCTGCTCTAATTACTACACTGTCCTAACTCCTGTGAAGTGTTGCTGGCCCTTGGGCACGTGGAGGCACAGTAAACTAATGTGGCAAACACGGGTAGTTCTGTTTCATCATCAGCTATCATCCTGAAGGCTACATGCTACTGTGATAGAATTGTTGTCGTTCTGGTCTCATGGGATGTCATGATGCCATCGTTGCTACCATACAGCCCAGCTGACTATCTGCTTTATTTCCTTTCTTTGTCTCTTTGGCCTGCCTTTCGTTTTTTTCATTCTTGCCCTTTCCAGTGGTCCCTGTGGTACTTCTGACATACTCAGCATATCTTTGCCTTGTTACAGCTGTAACTGTGACTTGAGGGTGGGGGGCCAGAGATTGAGAGCAGATCAGCAAAGTTGTCTCCAGTGGCTTCAGAGATCTTTTGGGGACAACATATAATCTACTGAGTGGAGTCTTCTTCATGAGGAGTCATGTACAGTGCTCCAACACCTGGTGGTTGATCTAAAGGCTTCATGTGGCTCTCTGAAGGGTAGACCACTGTCCAATCGGCTGAGCATTGCAGAAATTGCAGTATTTGGAGAGAGAACCCCTTGGAAGAGGACAGCCTTCACAGAGTAGTATATCGGAAATTACCTAAAGGTGGCGTAGAGATGTTTGCCCAGACTCGTCAGTAGGTACAAATAGGATATTTTCTACGAAAGGCTAATTTATTGGAAGTGTTTGAGGCCTTTGCAAAAGAAAACTATTTTTCTTGAAAACTGTTTTACTTGTCTGAGGAAGTGGACTTCTCCACAAAAGCTCTTGTTAAAAAATAGCAGTTAGTCTTTAAGGTGCCGCAACATTTTTGTCATCTTTATTTTTCATTTTGGTTTTTGCCTGATATTGATCTTGAATTTGGCCTCTTTTAAAGACCCAGGTTGTGGCATTAAGCATCCTTAACTTGGAACTCAAGTCTCCTTGGGCTGCATGAGACTTGCTACCGAATCGACATGGTCATCATTAGTCCTGTAGAGGCATCCAGTGTCATTGCTTCCTCAAAAGGAATATTCTTGTCTCCTTTTCTTTATAGATGCATTCCCATATGGTGGAAATGTGATGGGCAAAGAGATTGCCGGGATGGCTCCGATGAACCTCCAACGTGCCCTCCTAGACACTGCCTTGTCGGACAGTTCCAGTGCAACGATGGCAACTGTACCAGCTCTCATTACTTGTGCAACGGCCTATCTGACTGCCCAGACAGATCAGATGAAGACCACATCCTTTGTGGTGTGTGGCAAGTTGTATATTCTCAAAGCCCTGCATCTGTATTAACCAGTCCTTTATCACAAGGAGAGATGGGCAAGAACTGCCGATTTGCTGGTTTGTGTCAATTTAGACACTTCAGGCGCACAGCTGTTCTGCGGGCACCCTGGCTTCCCAGCCCTTGACTTCTCTGGTGGGTGCCTATTCAGTGGCAGCATGTGGTTTCCCAGCCCCACCTCCTCCAGCAGCTACCTCTGAGTAAGCACCTGCCAGAGGAGGAAGGGCTGGGAAGCTGTGCCGTTGCCTCTGAGTGGGCGCCCGCTGGCGGAAGCGGGACTGGGAAGCCAGGGTGCCCATGGAACAGCTGTGTGCCCAAAGCACCGAACCTGCTTTTTGAGCCCCAGAACCAGTGCTTGGTGTCCATCTCTAACCACAAGCAGTGAAAGGGATTTAGGGATGTCACAGCTGGTCCTTTTTCATGAACCGTCGTCTTGACAAAACGTTCTTTCAATAGGATTGATAGATCACGAGAAACAGGGAATTTTGTAGGTTGTTGAGGACGGCGCCACTTTTTGATCACTCTAGCAAGAGTGAGTAAAGAATCTGGAGATTTCATATCAGTGATTTATTTCTAGCAGGGCGTTGTAGCCTTTTAAATTCTGGATTGTGTCTTTCACAACAAGCAAGAGGAAGAATTCCTGTTTTTCCTTGGCTCTTTTCTCTGACTTAATGAGTCCCAACTGCTTCTGCTTTCAGGCAACACATACAATTTTTTTTAAAAAAATCACTTGTTGAAGTCAATGGCTAGTTTAGTTATTCATGCTGTTTTTAAGATGTGAACAAGAGTGATCAGAAAGTGAGAACCATTACGCTCCATGGAAGGCCAGTAGGGCTATATCATGTCTAGCATGCATTCTTACCAGCAAAATATTAATTTTCTTGATACTTAGGTTACTTAGTATATCCATTGGGTCCGAAACGGGTTCACAAATTATGTAGCATGCCAGGATGTGAAGAAATTTCAAAGGGAACATGAGACCATGGCAGTTTCATAATTTTTTTAAAAAAAAATCTGCCTAAACATATTTTCCATGACAGATATTGCTGGTAGAGTTTAGCATTTCTCAAAATGTCTTATGAAAAAGCATTTTTGATTTTAAAAAAATGTATTGTTTTTGCTTTATTTTTAATTTCAAGTTAAGAAGGTTTGTTTGTTTGTTTGTTTGTTAAAAGTGGGGTTGGATTAGGGTTAGGAGAAGACGGGAGAAGGGGAAGGTTTCTCAGAACTCAAAGTAAGGTGTAAATCTGAAAGGTTTGGGAGCCACTATGCTAGGTGTAACTGTGCATCAGCATTTCTCTACATAGCTAACCCTCCCATTGATTTGAGCATAGATTTAACTTAAAAACAAACAAACAAATTGTCATCTCTTAATCACTTCAGATAAAAGTGCCTGGGCTGCATATTTCTAAAAAGGTATGAATTTCACAATTGTGGTCCCTCTTAGCCAACCATCAGTGTGAATCTCACCAGTGGCAATGTGCCAACAAACGATGCATCCCAGAGGCCTGGCAGTGTGACCGAGAGGACGACTGTGGCGATCACTCAGATGAGGACAGTTCACATTGTGCCAGCAGAACTTGCCCTCCGGGCCAATTTAAATGCAACAATGGCCGCTGCATCCCCCAGTCCTGGAAATGCGATGTGGACGATGACTGTGGCGATCAGTCAGACGAACCAATTCACGAATGCAGTAAGCAAACCGCAGCAGGCAGTGCTTTTTGTTTGTTACAGAACTTGGGAAATCTTGGCTAACTTTGCTCCTACCACTGTTAGAGAGATGCTAGCCAAACAACTGGCTAACTTTGCTCCTACCACTGTTAGAGTAGATACTAGCCAGACCAGATGGAACACAGCACCATCCCTGATGCGGTGGTGGAGCATTTTGGAAAAAATGTCCCAGTGATGTGCTGAAGGAACTGCAGAGCATGAAGGAACAGACAGGCAGATTACTGCCAAGTTAGGAATAGCACACTTCCTTATTCTAATACAATGAATCCAGACTAGCTCTCTGGCTCTCTCGAGTCACAAAGTAATTAGAATGTTTTCATGTGTATTGAAAGCACCGGAGGAGAAGGCACTCCTTTATCACTCTTGAGTGACGCTATTGGTCACATTCTTAGGTCTGCACAGTGTGTTGCTCAAGGACTTGGGCAATGTAGAATGTTTTCATGTGTATTGAAAGCACTCCTTTATCACTCTTGAGTGACACTATTGGTCACATTCTTAGGTCTGCGCAGTGTGTTGCTCAAGGACTCGGGCAATGCCTTTTGAGTATATGCTTGAGAGAAAATCTGCTTTGATTGACAACAGATACACGTGTGGACCGTCTGCATGGTCCTCCGCTTCCTCTTCCCCAGCTCATCTATAGCTTCAGGTCCGAAATTAAAATGAGAGGAGAAAGCAGAGTGAAAGGATCCTTTCCCAGTTACAGATAACTTCAGTAGTGTGGTTATGGAAACACTTAGGACAAACTGGGGATTAGGTGAGGCCTGACTCAGTCATGAATGAGGTGGACACCCTACATGGCAGGTTCAGATGTTCTTAAAGAAGAATGCCAGTTTGTCAGTGGTTGGTAAAGGGACATCCCTTAGTTTTTTCTGCCTCGGGAACCAGAGCAGAATTAGAATTTTTTCTCTGATGTGTACCTTATTTTACACGGAAAAACCCTTTCTGCATTTAAATATAAATAAATCTAGGGTAGCCAATGGTTTCTCTGTTTTATCTGTATCCTATCTGAAGAAAGTTTGGAAGCTGCTTTTTACATCTTCAGGGAAAATGAATTCATCCTGGACCATAGTAATCAAAGGGTAACTTTTCCTTTTCTTGTAGTGGGCCCTGCCTACCGATGTGACAATCACACAGAATTTAGCTGTAGAACAAACTACCGTTGTGTCCCGTTGTGGTCCGTGTGCAATGGTCACAATGACTGCAGAGACAACAGTGATGAACAAGGCTGTGGTATGTCTAAAGGCTGAAGAATTTATTTGAAATGATCATATTCTCTATGCCAAGGTGTAAAGCCGTCAGTAGCTTCAGTGCTGAAAATCATATACTGTATCTACCTAAATTCATACCTACTGGTCCATGGGGTCACAAAGAGTCGGACACAACTTAACGACTAAACAACAACAACAAAATTTCACAAATTCAATCCTGAATGAGACTGCAGGGAGAATTGATGACATTTCACCATAATCTGGTGGTTCTAGAGGGATCTTTAAACAACATGGGTGCTGAATATAGAGAATCCTATGACTGGGTTGACAGTTGAAGAAAAACTCAATTCAATGATATACCTGGCTCCAAAAATGTAGTTTAGCTTCTTTGTACCAGGTAACATTCATTTATTACCAGAAGATGTGGCAAGTGATGAGCTTACCTGTATTGAAAGCTATCTTGGGGTCTCATTTGAGCTGGCTTTCTTCTTTGGTCTGCTCACATGAGTGTATATGATTTTCAGATGTTGATAAGGCAAAATCCCAAATCCTGTTGACATTGGCCTCATGTGTAAGTGCAACTGCAGAGCAGGCTGTCTGTTGTGTGATTGGTCATCCAATCAATTGGACAACAAATTTTGCACCAGTGCAGAAACGCATGCAGAAGGGGAACCTCTCCAGAGTGCAGAAATGTTGATATGATTGGCTTTATGCAATTGCATAAGCAAACAGGATTATTCTGTTACAATAAATAGCAGAATAATCAGCTGCCCTGATAGTTGTTGCTAGACACAGAGAAAATATTCGACAGCATAAGACCTTTTTTCCCTCACAAAACTAGTTTGTTAGAAAGGCACTTGAAAAGAAGTTTCTAAATTTGTGGACTTTTTGCTGTTGCCATACATGTATTTCTGCGTACTGTTCCTCTGTTCTCACCAAGTTATCTTTGAGAAGGATAGGCACGTGCTTGGCTGTTGACTGCTTTGAAAATTCTGTGTGTGCTGCAGAGGGCCTGACTTGTGATCCTTTGGGAGATTTCCGCTGTGATAATCACCGTTGTATCCCTCTGCGGTGGAAGTGTGATGGAGACAATGACTGTGGAGATGAATCTGATGAACAGAACTGCAGTAAGATCTTTCAGACTCTCTAGTACTGGTAGTTTGCATTGAAATATTATGCACATTTCTTGTGTAAATTTGACATTTCGCGCATAGATGGTAAGGAATTTGCCCTTTCCAGATTTCTCATTCAGAACTCCCGTGATTAAATATGCTTTCATTTAAGCAGTTCTCTAGAGTTTAACATTGTGCTATTTGATGACCCAAATGCTGTAAACGCTTTGGTGCTGTCCAGCTACTGGTGGGTTACAAATTTAATTAGACACCGGCTATTAAAGAAGTAGTGGCTATCACTTCTTCCGAACATTCTTAGGAAAGGGACAATGGTGACACATATTCAGAAAATTATTATCAGCAGGGTGAGATTTAAAACCATGTGGTTTTTCTGTCAGTTGTCCTAACTTGAGCTTAGTGACGGTGACATGTTCCTTAGCAGGGCAAGCCCTGAGCCAAGGGGGGAGGCGTTTTCCAAATTGGTGTCCTTTGGACTGCTTGTGTTTTGCAGGCTGCAAGTAAATCCTCCAATTGCCACAAGAGTTGCACTAGCTTTGGAGCAACTGTGTTTGCTGAGTATCTGTGCTTGCATTACAGTGGTACCCCGCATAGTGAAGATAATCCGTTCCGGAAAAATCGTTGCTATACGGATTTGCCACTATGCGGAACAAAAAAGCCCATAGGAATGCATTAAAACACATTTAATGCGTTCATATGGGCAAAAAACTCACCGTTCTGCGAAAATCCTCCATATGGCTGCCATTTTCGCTGCCCGGTAAGCAAGGAATGGGTGCAAAAACACTGTGGGCGGCCATTTTTTTATCCCGGTGGCCATTTTGGAACCACCAATCAGCTGTTAGGAAAACATCGCTATGCAAAAATCGATAAGCGAAACAGCTTACCGATCATCGCAAAGTGATGTTTTACCATTTAAAACATCGCAATGCTATCACAAAAACGATCTCAAAAAAAGTATCGCTATGTCATTAAACGAGGCGCCCGTTTTCGGGGCACCACTGTATTTATCAAACATTTCAGCCCAACGAGTCACCAGTTGTGCCTGTGCTACCTCTCTTTATCTCAAGGTCCCCGTGAGTGCACAGAAAGTGAATACCGGTGTGACAACCTGCGCTGCATCCCTTCTCGGTGGATATGTGACCATGACAATGACTGTGAGGACAACTCAGATGAACGGGACTGTGGTGGGTGTTGCAGTTTGGGTGTTCTAAAGATCCCCATGGTGTGTTTGATGTAAAACTGCAGGCTGACATTACCTTTGTGATATGAAGGCTAGAAAAGCCGTCTTGAGAGTGGCTGGTGTTGTTTTTCATTCTGGCACATGGAAAAAGAAAGAAAGAAAAAAAATGAAGCCCTGTTTTCAGGCTGCATGCCAAACCAGCTGAGCTTTTCCTGTTTTGTATGGAGAGCAGTCTGTCCCCTCCCCATAGCTGAACAGGGGTGGGGCTAGAAGAGGAGGAGGAGGAGCTAAATGTGAGCCTTATTGGATCAGTTTCCAACCTTCTGCGGGTTAAGTTTATGGGCCAGACACTCTTTCCTATTCTCCCTTTTCTTTAAAAGCCTTTTCATAACAGCAACTTATTCTTCTTTTTAGAACTAAGGACCTGCCATCCAGGTTATTTCCAGTGCAACAGTGGGCATTGCATTGCAGAACGGTTCCGATGTGATGGAAGTGCAGATTGTCTGGATTTCTCTGATGAAGCAACTTGTCGTGAGTTCCTACATCTGTTGCAGCAACCTGCATGAGAGAGGGATTCCTCGTGGCCCTCTTTTCCATTATTTTTTTTTTGGGGGGGGGTGGTTGGAAGAGCAAACATCTGTGGTTTCTTTCCACTATGTCCTAAATTTAAAGAAAATGTAAAGTGCATTGCTGTGTCTAGTTAAGCAAAGTTAGTGTTTGGATAGCTCAAATCAGTTAGGTATCTGACTGCAGAGCCAGAAGTTGGGAGTTTGATTTTCCTCTATGCCTCCAGGGAGAAGAGCCAGCCTATGTGGCCTTGGGCAAGCTACACACTGGTCCCAGGGCAACCCCCCCCCTCCGCAAGAGGAAAGGAATGGTAAAACCACTTCTGAGTACTCTCTACCTAGAAAACCCTGAAAAGTGCTGACATAAGTTGGAATTGACTTGACAACACATTATTATTAGTAGTAGTAGTAGTATGGATGGCCATAATATAGCTTTCCGTATTCAGGAAACATTTAATGCAAACCAGAGTATTGGAAAGTTGTTTGCATTGTAACTCTCACAATTGCCCAGCCAGTATGACTAGTCACCGTGGAGACCGATGTTTCGGGGAAGTGTAATGCCTCCCACAAAATTTAAAGTTTTTCTCAAACTCATCTCATTATGAAACCAAAAGCAATCCCCACCCACCCCTCAAACTGCCTATAATGGTACATCTCCATGTACTCGAGAGAACTGAACAGAATGGAACTGACCTGGTTAAGATGTCACATTGTTTTCTTTTCTCTTGAGACCAGGGATCTCATCTGCCCATACCAGTAATGTGAATATAAATTGTATTCTGAACGTAATGAAAGAGCAAAATGAGGCTGTAGAAGAACAAACAGAACTATTTATATCTCTGTGATGTTCTACAGAAAATATTATAGAGAAAAATAATGGTGACATTAAAGAAGACTTTCTTTTTATCAGCTACTCGCTATCCTAACGGTACCTATTGTCCACGAACAATGTTTGAGTGCAAGAACCATGTCTGTATTCAGCCGTATTGGAAATGTGATGGTGATGATGACTGCGGAGATGGCTCGGATGAAGAGCTTCACTTTTGCTGTAAGCTGAGAACATTGAACTTGGGCTGGTTCTAAACCTCTCTCTCAGCTTATTAAAGGGTTTGAGTTAGTTTGAATGGGACCAAACCACCACCCTGCACTCCGAGTGGTCGAAATGACTAGATAGGCGGGGTATAAATACAATAAATAAATAAAAAATAAAAAATAATTACGTAGCATTTTAGATGATGGCCTGAGTTAACTTCTTGTAGAAATTTCAGTTTGTTTGTTAAATGTTAACACCACAAATGAATTGTTAACTATTTTCTGAGAATGAACAGTCTTAATGAAACTGAAAGTTTCCAGGGCATTCTGGAAGGAAATTCAGAGTATTCGTCCATCTCTTCCTTGTGATAGACACAGGAGTGGCCAGTGTGGATGTAAACTTTAGTGGGATTCAAGAATCAGGAAATTAAATAGGTTTAACATTGGTGAGATGTAACAGTGGACCATGGGACGAAAGGAGGAACTAATAGTCAAGGCCACTATTATGTCTTCACTGTTCGTTAATTATTAATAGTGTATGACTAGATGATGTGACTTCTTTCACTAGTTTAGGATCACTATCTAGCACTTTTCAAGCATGTTTTCAAATAAATTGGTTTTTTTTAATCTCACTGTCCTGCAAACTATTTAAAAAACATTGATTTCTTTAATTTCAGTGGATATTGCCTGTGAGCCACCATTCCGCTTTCGTTGTGGGAATAACCGTTGCATCTACAGCCATGAACTTTGCAACCAGGAGGATGATTGTGGAGATGGAAGTGATGAAAAAGAAGAGAACTGTAGGTTACCAGTGTTTAAAAAATTAATAAGAAAAAAATAGAATAGTGTCCCTAGTGATTGTGACATTGTATGAGCTGAGGTGAAAGGCAAATTCAGAGAAAAGCTGAGCTTTTCAAGGCCCCAGATTCTTCTCTGGCTCAGGTTAAATTTGAATCATTTCTCATTTGGTTGCATGATAAATGTTTCTCATCATCTTGGAGATCTTTTTCTTGTCAAGCTGTGTAAGTATCATGGGGCATTTTGCATTTAGAAATTAAGGTCACTGAAGGCTCTCTCAGCCTACCTCATGTCCTGCTGCAAAAGCGTCAGATCCAGTCCATCGTATCTCAAAGCATCAATGTGGGGAAGGTTGCTAAGTGGTCTACTTCAAAAAGGTTGACTGGTCCTTTACTGTGACCGTTCAGGTCGCCGAAGTGTGATACAGGGGACAGGTGTGGCCCTCAGAAGCCTTATTTGTGCCTCCTGGATACATCCCTGGCAAAATAAAAAAACCTGCCACCCACCTGGGAAAAGTCACTATCTGCTCCAGTGGTTCTGCAAATAAAATGGGATTCATTCACACCGCTACACAACCAAAAAGTGGACTTCTAGCTAGCCTTGGTTTTGCTGATTTTCAGTGCTGGTACAATGTGTTTTGGAGCAGGGAAAATAGCCCCTAGATCCACTGAAGTAGCTCATTCTGGTTTACAATGTTTCCCTAACAGGGTCTGCAGTATTCTGTCTGCAGAACATTATATGTTTATGAGGAGTACTGTGTTTCCCTGGAAATAAGACAGGGCCTTATATTAATTTTTGCTCCAGAAATGTATTAGGGCTTATTTTCAGGGGATGTTTTACTTTTTTCATGTCTAATCATCTACATTTATTCAAATACAGTTATGTCATCATCTTCTGGTTGCAGCACAAAGGTGGAAGGTGGTGTTTCACTTAACTGGGGCTTAATTTTGAGGGTAGGGCTTATATTACGAGCATCCTGAAAAATCATACTAGGGCTTATTTTCAGGTTAGGTCTTATTTTCGGGGAAACAGGGTAATGTTTATGTGTGTCATCTTCGTGCAGGCAGAGCACCTACTCCTAAACCTTGCACTGCTGAGGAATTCAAGTGTGGCAATGGGAAGTGCATCCCCCTGCATTATGTCTGTGACAATTATGACGACTGTGGAGACCATTTTGATGAACTAGGCTGCAGTAAGTATTGCTAACAGTTGCATTTGGGACTTACTTGCAGATTTGTCATCAGAAGGAAAATCCCTTTGACTTCCGGCCTTTGGGTGTTCTTCCGTGTTGTACTATGTTTCCTGGCATTCATGTCATGACATTTTACAAAGGTCTACCTTCCGTTGCCCGTACTGCTAACCTAACTGTGTTTTTACATGAGTTCCGTCTCTTCCCCTTCCACTGCCACCCTCCCCCTGTGACTGTCTTTTGCACACTGTTGTTAGTACTAGGAACTGTGTGCTTGGCAGCAACTGTGGTTATTGGGAATCATTGTGAAATCTGTCGAAATAGACGCCGCCAGAAACAGAAACACAACCTCTTCTTGGATAGTCCTCCATCAGAAATTCATCTTGTCTCTCTCACTCTTCACCATCTCTCTCTCCCTTCTTTAATCTTGATGGTCTTGGTCGCTTGCATGTAGAATGGAGAGCTTGGTAAAAACTTTCCCCCTCACACTCCAAATGACACAGTAACTACATCTGCTGTGATCTCACGAGAAAGATAATCACAGCATCTCTTCCCTGCCAGCTTATTTTTCATATGCCAAGCAAGAAAAGAAGGGAAATCTCCATTTCCCTTTACCATTGTGGTCCCTCCCTCCATTTAGCTGCAAATACAATGATAACAATATTCACATTACTTTTTTTTTAAAAAAAGCAAGCAGAGTTTAAAGAGTGATAGACTATCCAGGGCCCTCTACTGCTTACCCTAGCTGGGACAAACTAACAGGTCTTTGTAAGTGGTGGATAATCCACCATTTCACAAACTCCAACTCTACTTCATTCCCCCCTCTCCCTTCTTTTAGAATTACTGTTAATTATTTTCACAATCACAATTTATATCTGAAGTCCCTAGGCATCAATCTGCATCAAGGAAGTGTAGGTGTAGCAGGCCTTGTTTCTCCACTCTATACAGTATCAGCAAAGCTTGTCATACAGTGAAGTCACCTGGCGACTATACCATATTTTTCCGTATATATGACCCCCCCAATGTATAGGACGAACCCCTAATTTTTACCCTTACTGGAGGCGGAGGAGCAGTCAACGGGCAGCCGCAAGAGGCGGCCGCACGCGGCTGCTTTTTTGCCTCAGTCTCCTTCTGCTGCCGCCTTCTGTGTATAAAATGACCCTCAATTTTTCCTCTAATTATTTTAGGAAAAAGTGGTGTTTTATACACGGAAAAATACAGTACTTAGCAGTAAACATGATCTGAGCACAGTATAATGGGGCGGGGGCTTATCTGAGGGATCAGTCTCCACTGATTCACTTATCCATGGTCTGAAAATATTAAAAATATGAAAAGAAAATACTAGAAATATGTATTTCTAAAGGTGAGGTTACCAGCACTGGTCACTAGAGGAAGACAGAGACCATACATTGTATAGCATTCAAGAGAACTATATTTCCACCATTATCAGAGCTGGCCACTAGCTGGAGCCAGAGACCATGCTATGTATAGCATTTGCTACTAAAATACTGTAACATATTTCAGCACTCGCAGAGGCCCTTGGAACCAATCCCCCAAGGATTTAGGGGCCGTACTTTAGTTGCAAAAGGGGTTCTCTATTTACTTCAGATGAATGGATGGCTCTCGTACTTAGGTTTGTATCACAGATCTGCTTTTAATCAAATGCTTTTTTGGGGAGGAACCAGAATTCAAGAGAAAAACTGGAATGCTGGTGTAATTTGTTCTTGTCCCTTTCTATAATTTCTGAACCAATGCCTCCCCACCCCCCCCACCCCCGTGATCTAGAACGAGGAATAATGTTGTTGTGGTTTTTTTTTTTAATGGAAGAGACAAGAATTATAATCTGCAATACTAGATTAGTTTTCTAAAAACAAGAAAAAACTAGGAATAAAGTAGATTTGTTTGCTTTTTAAGTTGAAAATAAACTATGAGTTGTACATTTTCATCCTTAAAAATCATACCTGTGCTTATATTTTTAGATTCTGGAACAGGAAGAACTTGTGCTGAAAATATCTGTGAACACAACTGTACCAACTTAACTGAAGGTGGTTTTATATGTACCTGCAGGCCTGGATACAGCCCCAGTGAACTCAACAGAAACACCTGTGATGGTATGTTTCATCTTCAAATGGTTTTCTGTCTTAGACATTGTTACACATGTGTGAATTTAATTATGCACTCTTGTTTCCTTGATTATACAAATATGGAAGGCAGAAAATAGTAGAATAGCGGGGTTTGAATCCTGGTATTGCAATATGAATAGAATGGATGTTAGTATATTTTGGTTTCTCCTCCCCCTAACCCCAATCCTCTTTTCTTTCCCTTTTACCTTCTGTATCCCACACCCCAACCCAAGTTATCGAAGAAGAAAAAAGAGAGAGAAATGAAGAGCAGTTTTAAAATGAAGAGCAGTTTTAAAACGTTGCTGTAAATCAGAGAAAATAAAATAAACCAGTTGCTTCTTGTAAGCTCAACGTGTCTGCATGTACAGGGAATGAAGGTCAGGTATCTAGGGAGTTTTGACTTACTGAGAATAAACTGCATGTTTGTACAAGCTTGAGCGCTAACAAACTGCTTGTGTACAATAAGCCAGGACATAACAGTGTTGTGGAAGGAAAAAGCCCAGAGATAATTCTGGTTTCTTGTTCCATGTGAAGGTAGCTAGTTGGAAGGCTCATATAATGATAGAAAGAGGAAGAAATGGGGGTTCATTACATTCAAAATGGGAGTAGACAATGATTTTGAATAAAATTAAAGGTGTGTACAAAGATAAAAGGGGGAAATGAGAGGAATATCAGAAGGGTGGAAGGAATTCCAGAGGTAGGACCTTTCAGGCACAAAATGATGAAAATGTGGAATGGAATTAAAATCCTGGTTGGGACATAAAAAGAAAAGGTGATGAGCAAAACATCACAAAACAGATGGTGTTTACACTATTGAGGACGACTGCCATGGGAAGATTGGATTCTGTGGACCTTAGGGATAATCTGTGATACAATTATGTTGTTCTTGTACAAAAACTCAAACATGTCCTTCTTTGCCTTCAGATGTTAACGAGTGTGACATCTTCGGAACTTGCCCACAGATTTGTCAGAATTCGAAAGGAAGTTATGAATGTTTCTGTGCAGAGGGGTTTAGACCGGTTGGAGATCAGCAGGGCACGCAGTGTGCGGCTACTGGTAAGCTTAGCTAGTGTTTCTGTTAGTGGGGAATTAAACTAAAACTAGTCACCATGAGCACTCTTCTGAAATGAATCATTCTTTTTTAAGCTTGGTGCTACTGCCATGCAGTGCTGTTTGTTGAATTGTTTTATTTATTTAATTTATGCCTCACGTTTCTGTCAACAAATCACCCTCAAGGCCTGTAACAGTGATAAATCAAATAAAAATAAAATGTGAAAACTAGATTATAGAAAACCCCACAAGGGGGGGTGGAGAAGATAACTCCACCCAAGTCCTTCTCAGCTACAAGCCAGGTATAAAAGTCCTGCCTGAATAGAATGATCTGTACCTGTGGAAGTTGGCTGGATATTTCAGTGAGTAAGATTTCTGGCTGCGGAGCCAGAGGCTGGGAGTTTGACTTCTCACTATGCTTCCAGGGAGAAAAAGCCAGCCTGTGTGGCCTTGGGTAAGCTGCACAGTCCCAGGGCAACCTCAGAAGAAGGGAGTGGTAAACCACTTCTGAGTACCTAGACAACCCTGAAAAGGGTCACCACAAGTCAGAGTTGATTTGATACCACAAAATCATTATTGTTGAGGTACTCAAGAGAAAATTGGACAGCCATCTGTCAGATCTGCTTTGATTTGGATTCCTGCCTTGAGCAGGGAGTTGGACTCGATCGCCTTAGGCCCGTTCCAACTTCATTATTTTATGATTCTATGATTTAAACATTATAGTGCTTGGTGTTAGTGAACCAAAGTGGACTGAAACGGCAAACTCAGAACAATGGAGTGGTTCTAATGAGGCAAAATGTAGCACAGGTAGTTAGGGGCTATAAGTAAGGTCTGAGGAAATAATATCTATCAGACTTCTGGGAAAACCTATCAGCATAACAATTATTCAAGTCTATACTCCGACGACAGATGCTGAAAAAGATGAAATTGAAAGCTTTTGCGCAAGTATTCAGGAGGAAATTGATCACATACCCCAAAACAAGACACATTTATAATTATAGGCAATTGGAAAGCAAAAGTAGGGAACAAAGAAAAATGAAATATTGCTGGAGATGTTTCTGTCCCTGCGGGACAAAAATGAAGGAGAACAACTTGTTGAATTCTGCAAAGTCAGCAATCTGTTTATCGTAAATACATGCTTCAAGCAATTGAATAGACAACTGTACATGTGGGCATCAACAAATAGCCAATCAGATAGACTACATGACTGGAGAAATTGCATCATCTCTGCCAAAACAAGACCAGGAGCAGATTGTGATACTGATCATGAATTACTGTGAAACATTACAAAGTAAAGATGAAGAAGAGCACTAAAAAACCCGACTGCCAAAATGTAATTTAAACAACATTTTTGAGAAATTTAAAGTCCACATAAAGAACAAATTTGAAGTACTAAATTCAATTGACTGTGAACCAGAAGGACTGTGAAACCAGATATATTGTTAGAGAAGAATGCAAAAAGACTTTTTCTGTAGTAAAGAAAAAAAAATCTAAATGGATGGTGGAAGAAGCATTTCTAAGGACAGGCAAGAAACAAAAGTAAAATAGGGTCAGAATCCTGAATGCAGCTTTTCAGTAACAATCACGTAGAGATTATAATGATGGCCAGTGCAAAGAAAGAGAAGAGAACAACAAAAGGAAAAAAAATGAAAGATCTTTTCCAGAAGATCCAAGAAATCAAATGGAAATTTAAGCCTAGATCAGGAATGCTGAATGGCCAACATTGGTGCCCACTATCTAATTTCCTGTACGGGCAAAGTGATGCTCATGATGCTGCAACAAAGGCTTTAATCTTATACAGAGCGAGAAATACCCACCATTCAAGTTCAGTTCTGAAAAGGAAGAGATTAGGAAGAGGCACTTTCGATCACCTTGCAAATATCTACTGGCTATTTGAGTGCACTAAAGAATTTCAGAAGATTAGTCTATGCTTTTAGACCACAGCAAAACTTTTGACTGCATAGATAATAAAATACTATTGGTTATTCTGAAAGAAACTCGTGTGCCTAAATACTTGGCTGTCCTGATGAGTAACCTGTACTGTGGACAAGAAATAGTATGGTTTCCTATAAGCAAAGATGGGGTGCATTTTATCTCCTGATCTGTTCAGTCTATATACAGAACATGCCATATGGAAAGCTGGACTAGATTCCAAAAAAAGGAAGCATGAAAACTGATGGAAGAAACATTAATAATTTAAGTTATGCAGATGTCACCATCTTACAGGCAAAAATCAGTGATGACTTAAAACAGCTTCTGGTGAAAGTAGAAAGTAACAAAGCAGGACTGCACTTCAACATTAGGAAGACAAAAATCAAGACTACTGACTACAGCTTTAATGTTAATTAAAAAAAAAAGAAATGGAAATTATTAAATTCCATCATCAGTCCAAATGGAGACTGTAGGCAAGAAATCAGAAGAAGCCTGAGATTAGAAAGCAATGAAATATTTAGAAATAATTAAGTATAAGGATGTTTAACTGGAGATCAAGGTCAAATCATCCACATGCTTGTATTCCTGCTTGTTGAATCACACTTAAGTCACACTGGTGACTCAAC